AGTAAAAATACATTAATTCTTTGAAAATATTTTCCTTTGCTTCTGGGTTTTATGCCAATGATCCAAGTATATATATATTTATGATGAAGAAAGGTGCATCTAGCAAAGTGGTTTTTTTATGCCTCCAGGGTCAAGGGGGGGGGGGGGGTTACATAGTCTGAAAATAAATTAATGCTTTGAAATCTGCCCTTTGCTATTAATCAACCATTTTATGATTACATTTGCAAAATTTTGAAATATGTGGCCCATGGGTCAGTGGGTGAGGTGCACAACTGGTTATAAAGTGGAAGTGCATTTTCTCTTTGTTACTCTGATCTACCTCTGGGTATTAAGTAAATAGAGTAAGCATGCTAAGTTAATAATTATGATAAGCAATGGTGCCTCTTTCAAAATTGTAAACTGTGAATTTCATGGCCGGCGGTTTAAAACACGAACCAAATATAATTGTTTGAAAGTTGTTACACAATACTCAGGTGACCTATAAGGCCCGTTGGCCTCTTGTTATAACCTGTACATTGTCTTTCAGACTGCGTGGCCCCTGAATGGTCTGGAGTTTATGCGGTCTATCTACCACTGTCTGTGTCAGGCTCTAGAAATACACTACACTGAGGATACATGTGACCAGTCGGACCTCGTCAATAAGGTATGTACAATATCTTACCTGAACTAAAGGACCTCTATAGTTTTGAATGAACATTTTTTTAGATATAAATATTATTATATTGAAGACATATTACAGTGAGCGCTTCCAGAAAATAGCATAACGTCAGCTAAATTAGTGCTCTTTAATTTGCAATTGAATCAGACAATCTTAATAAACTTTAAGTGTAATGTAAGTTGATTTTAATATGGTAAGGTTAACGTGTTTGTTTAATTTTTTTTCTCAGACCAAGATCAACATAACAGCTGTGTTGGATCCTGTAAAGAAACTGATCACAAATTTACAACACCTGTATGACCTCTACCACAAGTACAGGTGTTATCTGACCTTTGCTCAGTTCTTAGCTGTAAGTAATCACCTGTACGACCTTGACCACAAGTACAGGTGTTATCTGACCTTTGCTTAGTTCTTAGCTTTAAGTAATCACCTGTATATGACCTCACCACAAGTACAGGTGTTATCTGACCTTTGGTCAGTTCTTAGCTCTAAGTAATCACCTGTATATGACCTCTACCACAAGCACAGGTGTTATCTAACCTTTGCTCAGTTCTTAGCTTTAAGTAATCACCTGTATATGACCTCTACCACAAGTACAGGTGTTAACTGACCTTTGCTCAGTTCTTATCTGTTCTTACAACATTTGGATCTGTAGCTGACTGCTTTATCTGTTCGAAATTTTCTCAAGCTGCGAGCCTCAGTTCTGCAGCAAACTGTCAGCAATTAGTAAATTTTTAAATTGACCTTAGATTATAGTAAATATGTACTGTATAAATTGATTTGAATACTTTTTAGGAGACTACGGAGTCAGTTACCTTTAGGATGTTGGATAATGTGGTTGCCTTGGAGATGATTCAGACCCGCCTGACCCAACAGATACGACCTTACATGCAGGAGCATCACCTGAAAGAGGACACAGTCTTCACCAAATATGTCAAGGTCAGATATAGAAAGAGGACACAGTCTTCACTAAATATGTCAAGGTCAGATATAGAAAGAGAGGACACTGGCTTTACTAAATATGTCAAACTTAAAAGTATAAAGCAGATCACCAACACTTCGTGAGAATGCAGCAGTAAATTTATTTTGACCGGTTTCGACCTGTGACGGTCGTCATCAGAACCTGCTGCATTCTCACGAAGTGTTGGTGATCTGCTTTATACTTTTAAGTTTATAACTTTAGTTACAGACCCTATTGAATACCTTTCGGTATCCACACTTGAGAATCTTCCGCAATTTTAACCTCAAGGTGTTGGTCTCCAGCTTTTCTTTGTTAAATATGTCAAAGTAAGATATAGACACAGGATAAAGTCTTCACTAAATATGTAAAAATCTGATATAAAAAGAGGACACAGTCTTCACTAAATGTGTCAAAGTCAGATATAGACTTCACTAAATATGTCAAAGTCAGATATAGAAGGATAGGACACAGTCTTCACTAAATGTGTCAAGGTCAGGTACAGAAAGAGGATATGGTCATCACTAATTATCAAGGTCAGGTACAGACAGAGGGCACAATCTTCACTAAATATATCAAGGTCAGATTTAGAAAGAGAGGAGACAGTCTTCACTACAAATATGTCAAGGTCAAGTACAGACAAAGGGCATATCTGTAATTTATTATGCCCCCTTTCAAGGAAGGGAGGGCATATTGCTTTGCTGCTGTTGGTCTGTCGGTCCATTTAGCTTCCGTTCATTTTCTTCTTAACTGTTGCACATACTGAAATGAAATTTGGTATACAGGTTTATGAGGTATATATATCTAGGTCAAGTTCTTTTTTGGGTACAATTGCACCATTTTTGACAGAGTTATGCCCCTTGGACTTAGAAAAATCTAACTTATTAGCAGTTTCCTTTCATTTTCTTTGCAGAGGTTGCACACATTGAAATGAAATTTAGTATGCAGATTTTTCAGCTGAATATCTAGGTTAAGTTCTGCTTTGGGTAGGATCGCACCATTTAAGACAGAGTTATGCCCTTTTTAACTTAGAAAAAATCCAATTATGGGGGAGGGGGGGGCATAAGTGTTTTACAAAGTAACATCTCTTGTTTCATTATGTTTTGAGAAGGTTATACTGTGTATCCTTGGATCCTATAACTTGGAAATGTAATAATGTTAATTTTATTTCCAGGACCTGTTGGAAAGGAGTATGGGGCTGACCTCATTCTATGGAGAAGCACCATGGGAAGCCAAAGTGATAGCAGTCATTGGTTGTATCAAGGATCCCAGGGTAGGGACAAGACAGGCTGAACAGAATTCTAGTCTTATATCCAGGCTTTATACAGTGGTACTATTGTTTCATTTCTTTGTTACAGTCCAAGTGTGAGGCCATTCTAGAGACGATGAAGATGGCTCGTATTCCTCTGTCAGCTCAGATAGAGAAACTGATACAGGAGGGCATGGAACTAGAACATCCCAAGTCAGTATATACTGTGTATCAACTTTACCTAACAGATGCTTTCTTTTGATATTTTGTCATTAAAACATGTTCCATGTTCATGACTATTGTCATGATTCTCATTTGGATCCTTTTATGATACAGGTAAACTTCGGTATCTCTACATCGGATATGTCGACAACCTGGAATATGTCGATGTCCGTCTGCGGTACCGGCGTTATTTACTATATAAATGATTTGCAAAAACTCCGATATGTCGACCTCGGTAATGTCGACTACCCCGCTTATCTCGACGTATATTCACAGTTTCAAGACCAAAATTCACCTGGTATATGTCGACATCAGAGCAATTTTCTGCTCTACCTAACCTAACTGTTTGTCAGCTGGTCGCTCGTCACGCACGGATGACTCCGTATATCTCGACATCGTCAGAAATTCACACCTTTCACACCCATGTTTTGACTACATACTGCTTCTATAGAAATGTGTTTGTAGAGGAATCCCTGTAGAGAAATCCCAAGCCCCCTTGACGTCTGAGACGTTAATTGTTTAATGTTACCGATAAATTTTCTCGATAAAACCGCTTTTTTTAAATTTCGAAATCTAACAAAACTTTACATTTTGTAAAAAAAAAATACTAAGTTACTGAATAACAATGAACAATATCCACATTTAATTAAAAATAGTAAAAATGCATTCAACAGAAAAGAATCAAATCTACGACATGCACGATTATTGCATCAGCCATAATATAAATGCATGCGTAACATCATTAAGTTTGTTTAATGTGCAGTTTCAATAAAATTTTATTTTAAAATGAAATTAAAAATATTGATGAATGATTATGAAATGAAAATGAATTGAAATGAAATAGTAAAAAAAAAACCATTAATTTTTTTCCCGTATTATGGAAGTCGACTTTGTACTGTTCCGGTTTGGAGTTTATAAAGCGCATTTCCTATCCTGTTCTGAAAGTGCTAGTTGCACGCGGATGGAATGCTGGATGGAAAACTGTTTTTAGTAAAATGAGAAGATTTAGATAAATAAAAAAGCATTTCATAAATTACATTTGTGAATAACTTCTTAGATTTTCTAATAAATATAGAGGGATAACTGAAACAAACGGTCTATTGAGGACATGTAGGAACTTACTCGTCTGTTAATTTTAGGTCTATGGTTTTACTATGCAGTTAAATTAAGGACGTCGAATCTAAACTCTGATATCTCCACACCTCAGATATTTGGACATTTTCCGATTGTCCCGTCGATGTCGAGATAACGAAGTTTACCTGTATTTGGTAAAATTAGACTTGCACCAGGAACAGTTAGTTTAGGTATTAAGGTCTTCAAGACTTTTCATCTTCATGAACCTAAATTAACAACCTTCTTGATATTTCTACATTTATTTTTAATGATAAAAATGTGAAGATTTGCTAATTTTCTGTGATCTTTATTATGTAAATACAATTTACAGATAACTTTGGAAAAAATACATGGGTTAAGTAAAGTGAGTGTTGTTAGTAAGACGAGTTTTTATATTGAATAGAGCAACAGAGATACAGGAGCAATACAAGATGGTGACTGTCAGAAAACTGGTTCTCAAGTATGGAGTTAACCGGGTACCAGACAAACAGTCCAATGAGGTGTGCTTCTTTTATTTACATGTAATCACTTACAAACAGTACACATATACAAAATCATTCAAAAACTTATATTTCTAGATAATTACATACAGGTTTCTAAATATAAATCTATTTAGGCCCTTTATTCACTTACATACAGTACACATGCAAAATCTTCATACAAAACTAATATTTCTAGATCTATTAGATGTAATGCTTTTTGTAGGACCTGATAAAGTACATCCTGGTCCAAGACAAGCCAGACTGTGTACAGGACGCCCTGAGTGTGATGGAGGCGTATGGTAACACCGAGTACCAACAGGAAATCTATCTCTTCAAGTGTAGGCATCTCATACACAAAAACAAGGTAAGATTACTATCTCTTCAAGTGTAGACATCCCATACACAAGAACAAGGCAAGATTACTTTCTCTTCAAGTGTAGACATCTCATACACAAGAACAAGGCAAGATTACTATCTCTTCTAATGTAGACATCTCATACACAAAAACAAGCCAAGATTACTATCTCTTCATCAAGTGTAGACATCTCATTCACAAAAACAAGGCAAGATTACGGCATACTCTGGCAATTTATTAGTTGTTAAAGATGTGTGCATATGACATTTGATGAAATCATGTGATAGTCCAGTGAATAAAGTAAAAAAAAAAATGGACATAAACTAAAACTGAAAAAGAACTATATGCGGTATTAACCAACATTTGCCCCCCAAAATCAAACTTTGACGGAGTAATATTTAATTAAGTCCTTAAACAGGGGAGTAAATGCTGACTTCAAAGCACTGAATAATTTCATAAGTAATGACGTCATATGTACGTAATGACGTCACAAATATGACGTAAATTTCAGTTTTTTATGAATTTTGCAGAAAAATGTACATATTTCGTCGATATTTTAAATAGAAGTCACCGAGCGCATGTGTGTTCAGGATAAATATTTTGATATAATGTGTAGAATGATAGTATCAATGAAATATGTCAATATTGTTCCTGAACACACATGCGCTCTATAAATTTTAAAGCTTAAATTGTTGAAATTTTGTCCATTTTGTCCTCTTTCTGAAAAAGGATATAAAATCGGACTAGTTTGTGACGTCATAAAATCAGAAATTGTGAATACACTGCTCTGGAACTATAATATTTTCTGTTAACTTATATTTCTCGTACAATTTATTGAATTCAGCACATATCAGGAAGTTTTCAAAATTTGATTTTTGTGGGGGCAAACATATGCAATATACCGCATATAGTTCTTTGAAAAATATTCAAATATTCACTTTGGAAAAAAATTACTTCAGTAATGCTTTAGAAATGTTCTCATTGTCAAGTTCATTTTGCAATATAAATTACTTCATTCTTAGGAAAAAAATAATTCTTCTAAAGTAACTTGGGTTTGAAATATTTTGACAGTTTTTAAATATATCTTACTAGATACTGAGTAGAGCTTTGTTTAGGTGGGAAATATACTAAAAACCTTATGATATTTTCTTAAACTACAAAAGAAATACAGTCAAAATTAGAAGAAACTCACTTTTTCAGAAGCATACATTATAAAACTTGTTTGAAGTTTTCACATATTTTCTTTGGACATTCATTAATTTTATATGATTAAAGATATGCATTGATAATAAGACTGAAATATGTATTATTTAATACCAAATTTCTTAGTGCAGGATGCTGATACATCAGCTATATTACATACCTCTTTAATGAGATAGAGTACAATTCAGTAATACATATCACTGCAGATACTTGATTTTCTTCACTTGTTTATTTCTCCATTGAGCAACAAACAGATTGTCATTTGTATCTATACACAGTCCCAAGGGATATCTCAGTCCACAGTCTATGTAATGGAGGAACTGCCCATCCTGGTCTATGATGTGGACACAGTTATTGTCAAAATCAGCTGTAAGGATGTGACTCTGACTGTCTGTGGTGATTCCTAGTGGACAGAATGGATGTTTCATTGGAGCAGGAGTATGTCCAGTGTACCTGAATCTCAGTTTCCCGGCCTGATTGACCACCACTACTGCTTCAGCTTTCTCATCAGACACACAGATATCATGGTTCTTGTTTTCAGTTATGTATCTTAGATAACGAGAACAAGGTGAATAGAGAGGTTTACCTTTATCATCAAACTGAATGGTTTGTTTCTCTGTGGAGCCAGAGTAACGGACAACTTTTGTTTGTATGTTATCATCACTGTCCATGATAACCAGGAGGTCACCAGAGGAGGTACTACAGACACCTTTAGGTCCCCAGTTCTGTAGTCTGATCACCTCCTCTATCTTCTCATTCTTCACAATGTTCACAGTTCTATAAAAGTAATCAGTATAAACTAGATCTCCACTTTCTGTCACTGCTATGTTAGATGGTCTGTTCCCTGACTTGGTTGTGATTGACTTGAGTAGTGATCCCTGGTTGATGCTGTAGAGTTTCATAGTTTTGTCATTTCCACTTGTCCAGATTTCTTCATCACTCAGACAGGCCACATAGTAAAGTTCTCTATACCCAGTGTCTATGGTGGTGACAGTCTCTGGTTCATCAAGCAGCTGTTTGACTGGAGGAGAGGATCCAGCTTCTGGTGATTTCTGTGTTGTCTTCATGCTGTAGCCATGTTTATCTGATGTTAAAGAACTTGATGGTAAGGCTCCAAACAATTTACGTAAATTTTCTACTTGGATTTTTCCTGGAATGAATTTTGGTAAAAATGGTATAATCTTGTGTGGAAGATTTCTGTATGTGTGTACTTTTGATGTTACACTAAACAGTTTTGAAAAGTCATTGGTGTCTTTAGTAATTTCCATCGAATCAATTTCATCCTTGATGTCAGACATTGTCTTGTTTATTTCATCCAGATGTTTCTGTAGAGTTTGTAACTGTGTGTTTTTCATCTCATCAACTTCAGCTTTAAGTTTCTTGACAAGTTTGTCAATTTCTCTGTGCCAGTCTTCTCCATGTTTTGTTATGGCTGTTGAGAGGTCTCCATATTCCTTTTGTAACTGACTCATTCTGTTTTGTACATCAGAGGCAATGTCCTGGTAGGTGGGATAAATTGTCTCATTTAATTCAGTCTGCTCTTTCATGAATTTATTCTTTCTTTCATCCACAACTTTTAATATTTCTGATACCTTATGACCTAGATGTTGATCAGATCCAATGCACTTATGGCAGACAGGAATGTCACATTGATTACAGTACATTTTACATAGTTCTTTATAATGGAATTTACATCCAGGGTAGAGGGGGGTGGATTTCCTGGCCTGAAATTTAACAACTTTGTGATCCTTAGATTCATCAGATATCATGTGTTTTCCTACACAAGCTGTACACAGGTTGACAAGACATGTATCACAGTGCATCTGTACTACAGAGGTCTCACACAGGTCACAGCGCATCACGTCCTGGGCACTGGTATGGGGGTCCATCATTAGATTTTGTGACTGAAGCCTATAAATTCAACATAAATGATCAAACATTTTTTGACTGAATACATTTTTTATGGACTGCAGAAACGCAGTATGTCTGGGGCCATATAGAAATACACAAGTCATCATATTACATAATACAAGGTTCATTTAATTGTTTGGGAATGCTATTTTATTCCCATAGTTAAAGCCTATACTACTGGATTTCCAATGACTTTCAACTGTTATGCACAGAAATATTAAAAAAAACTTCTTACCTGACTTCAGTAATGGCGGCCGTCCCTGATCGATCTCCAAGTGTAGTCTCTATACACTCTGATCACATGACTTTCCTGTTTTATCTACCTGTCAGGTGTTTATACTTCCTGGTTTAAAGTGGGATTTAAATGTCTTCAACAACTGCTTGAAATGCAGGGGTTATATAGATGATTACTTGTTAGGCCATTCTTAAAAAAATTATTTTTTGCGGTAACGCGCCTCATCATTTTAAGTGTGGGTAGGTAGGTAGGCTTTTTTTTTTTTTTTTTTGACACAAAATGTCAGAAATAAATTCTTTCGGTTATATAGAGGTATTAACCATGTCTTAGATTTCACATTACTAATCAAACAAGAAAATTAAAGCATTTTAAAATAAAGGAATTCAATTTTTTATTGCTTAAATATCGGAATACATCAGTTCTTTTTAGGCAAACGTTTTCAAAGAAAGTGACTTTCATCAGCCACGCACCTAAAATAACTGACTCGTCACTAATTTAGTGTTTCTGGGGTGTGATATATACGAGGTTTAAGATTTTATTAGTTTATTAATTAGCTGCAAATCCACCCTCATCCCACATGGAATTTCGTCTGCCACCAATTCTGTGGCGATCTCGTAAACATCATACCAATGTATCTGTAAGGTGGGACTGACGCACAATATTTTGAACTAGTAATTAAGATGTGTTTCCTTTCAAATTCACTATAACTGATAAAGCTACAGGGTCAGTATATTCTGCAACCTTCTCGGACACCATCTCTAAATTTGTAGATCACAAAGACGTTTTAATAGTACTTGGGGGAAAGATAAAGCTTCAGTGTAAGCGAGGCGTAAAAAAAATCAATCGGATAAAACCGGCGTAGGTGCAATGGAGACGTAAAAAAATATCAATCGAATAAAAACGGAAAATGGAGACGTAAAAAAAAAAAAAGATTTTTGAACCGATAAAAAAATTCCAGTCGGGTGGATTTTGGTGGGTCGGTCGGGTTACCGCAAAAGAACAATTTTTTAAGGATGGCCTTATGTTAATGCACTAGAAAACAGCATTGTCCATACACATATGTATCTGAATGTGTCAAAAAAGAGCATTGATTCGTAAAGAAAATATTTTCTGGATAAACAATTTTATATTTTCCTTTTAAAAACCAAAGGATTATATGTGTAGCAAATAAAAGTTTTGAAGAATTGATGTCAGAATATGGAATTTGACAGTAATTGTACCTGTTACTCTTGTACTCTTCAATTTTCTCCTTTATGAAGCCACAAGAGGAATTGAGTAATATTTTTTCATAGAAATATAAGAGGGGGGGGGTGTAATAAGATTCTTTTACAGAGTAACAAAGAATAAGCTATGTAACATAAATAGTTACACTGTACCATGTAATGTAGAGGCTTATTTTTAAAATATGTAAATTATATCATCTTTGGCCACAATAGGTGGTTAAAGTTTAAAAAAACAAAACAAAAAAAAAACAAGGTCACAATTGATGTTTCTTGAATATTAAGAAAGATATTAAATGTGATAAAGATTCAGGGACTAAGTATTGATATGCAGAAATAAACTGATATTCACAAGTCTTAGAACTAAAGATTTATGTTTTGGAAATTTGATAGCAAACCTCAATCAACTGTAAACTTCAGATAAAACTGGTTTTCACAGTAAGTAATTAAACTGAACATTCAGGAGGAGAATAAGTTCTCGGGTAAACATGGGGCTCTTCATTGTTTTCTGATATTTCATGAGAGCTCAGTGTGATATGTTTGTTTTCTGTTGACAGTTATATGAGTGTATGGAGCTGCTGAGACAGTGCCCCGCCCACTTGACCTTGACCTGCTGTCGTCACCTGATAGGATTTGTTATTGTTCACCTTAAAGACCCAGTCATCTTTGATAAAAATGTAAGTTCTAGCTGTGAGGAAAACCATTTGTGGGGAAATTTTAGCAAATTTTTAATTTAAATCCTTGAGGATGAAAATTCAAATATGCATGTAGATTTTTAGCTCTACTGGTCAGAGACCAGAAGAGCTTATGCGATAGTAATGCATCTGTCCGTCTGTCTGTCTGTCCGTCCGTCTGTCTGTAAACAATTTTTCAAAATGCTACTCCTCCTACAGTTTTGGTCCGATTTCAATATAACTTGGCACACAAGTAGACTACACTAAGATACATAATTTTGATCATCGGTTTTTTGATTTCGATGAACGGTGTTGCCATGGTTACTAAAAATAGAAATTTCTGTGAAATTCTTTCAAAATGCTACTCCTCCTACAGTTTTGGTCCAATTTCAGTATTACTTGGCACACAAGTAGACTACACTAAAAAACATAATTCTGTGCATCGGTTTTTGATTTCGATGAACGGTGTTGCCGTGGTTACTAAAAATAGAAATTTCTTTGAAATTCTTTCAAAATGCTACTCCTCCTACAGATTTGGTCCGATTTCAGTACAACTTGGCACACAAGTAGACTACACTAAGATACATAATTCTCTGCATCGGTTTTTGATTTCGATAAACGGTGTTGCCGTGGTTACTAAAAATAGAAATTTCTGTGAAATTCTTTCAAAATGCAACTCCTCCTACAGTTTTGGTCCAATTTCATTATAACTTGGCACACAAGTAGACTACACTAAGATACATAATTCTGTGCATCGGTTTTTGATTTCGATGAACGGTGTTGCCTTGGTTACTAAAAATAGAAATTTCTTTGAAATTCTTTCAAAATGCTACTCCTCCTACAGATTGGTCCGATTTCAGTATAACTTGGCACACAAGTAGACTACACTAAGATACATAATTCTGTGCATCGGTTTTTGATTTCGATAAACGGTGTTGCCGTGGTTGCTAAAAATAGAAATTTCTGTGAAATTCTTTCAAAATGCTACTCCTCCTACAGTTTTGGTCTGATTTTGATATAACTTGGCATACAAGTAGACTACACTAAGATACATAATTCTGTGCATCGGTTTTTGATTTCAATGAACAATGTTGCCATGGTTACTAAAAATAGAAATTTCTTTGAAATTCTTTCAAAATGCTACTCCTCCTGCAGTTTTGGTCTGATTTCAGTATAACTTGGCACACAAGTAGACTATACTAAGATACATAATTCTGTGCATTGGTTTTTATTTTGATGAGTGGCAAGGATCATTTTTCTATTTATTGCTGATTTAAAGTCTCAAGTCCCAACTGCTACTTTTCTCTTCCTTTGTTTTAAGTATAAATCAGTAGAGCTACAGTCTCGACAGAGACTTCTGGTTGATTAGGCTAAATAAAATTGGTATTACATATTACCAACTTTAAATTTCATTGAAAATACTCAAAAAACTAATTAGGATTCCTCAAGGCACAGATGTGTGTTAGCCCTAGATCTGTAATTTCAGTTTCATGTAGCCTTATAAATCTTTATTTCAGGTGTGCTACATCAGAAAACAGCTGTTGTGTGAGGCTGGGATTTACCTGATCAAATTCATTATCAGCAGAATTCCAGGTTTACATCTTTTGTCCACTTTTCTTTATAAAAATGATTTTTTTAAAAAGATAGTCCAGAATAAGAATGTTATATGAACTATATATGTTCTTTTTTCTAGATAAGTTTGAAGTTGAGGATTTAGAGTTCTTGCTGTTAAATGTGAAAAATGTCCATGCATTGCTGGTATGTTTTCAGCTATATACAGTCAATGTCTAGTAGGCTGTTTATACAGATATCTGTTCTATAAATTAGACTGACAATTTGACAAGATATAAACTTAACAAAGAACCTATGTCGTATGACATCATCACTATAGTGAATGTGTTAGCCTATGCTAAATCCATTATGACGTCATAATTAATTCAGTGTCACTTTTTCCTGTACTTTACAGCTTCAATAGAAATGGTAGAAAATACTGCATTTTGAAATTCACAGAATTCAATTTTAAGATCATGCCAAAATAATCTTAATTCAATTGATATATTTTTGAGGCTTATTATACCCCCCACAAACGAAGTTTAGAGGGTATATTGGAATCACCTTGTCCGTCTGTCTGTCTGTCTGTAGACGAGATTTTGTCCGGACCATTACTCAGAAACTATTGGAAGGATTTGTCTAAAAATTTGTGCACATATTATTCACCATATGAAGTTGTGCACCTGATATTTTCATTTTAATTCGATTATTATTTTGAATTTTACAGGTGTTTTTTCATTTTTATTTTGTGGTTTTGTCCGGACCGTTTCTCAGAAACTATTGCAAGGATTAATCTGAAAATTTGTACACTTATTATTCACCATATGAAGGTGTGCACCTGGAATTTTCAACTCTTTTTGTTAATTTTTTTGCATTTTACAGGTTTTATTTTTTATTTTAATTGACTTGTTCATTTTGGGCTCATGTATAAGGTTTGAGATATAGAATCTAGAATATCTGTTCAAAAATACTCATAAAAACTTAAAAAAAGGAAACATCATCAAGTGTTAAAAACAGTTTTTACATTGCACAGAAGATAATGTAATTCCATTTGTCTCTTGGGAATAATGACTGGACATGCATCCAGTTAAAGATAAATTAATGAGATTGGTGTTGGAAGTTGTTATGGCATATCTCTTATCAAGCGTGTGTGTTATCTAATCTCCAGGGAATAAGGCACAAGAATTAAAGATCTCTCTTCTCTTATTCTCTTAATTGTAATTTATTGTCTGTCAAAGCACTTCATTACTGGATGACCAGCTCTTTATTTTCAAAATGCATTTCAAATTGATATATCAAGATTAATTTGATTTGTATAATGTTTTTTTGTTAACAATCAGTTTGCAGAGTGACATAACACATAATTGCAATTTATTTTTTTAATGCAGAAATAAAAAAAAATAAAATGAAAAAATAAAAAAAAATATTACAATGTATTAGTATTGATGTTTCATTTGGTTGCACCTTTGTTTCATTCATTAAGAAACATGATGAGCAATTATATTTCACTGCAAATTTTTGTAAGTAAATTGTGAACACCTCTAGATCCATAAAGTATTTTTGAATTGGCACCTCTGAAAAACCCAGCGGGGGGTATTTGTCCCTATTGGACAGTTCTAGTTTGGTAATGACAATATATTTCTGGAATAAGAGAAACCTGTAGGCACCTTTCATTTGCTAGATCTTGACCTTAATTAAGTTGACATATCCAAGACAGTAGACTATCTTTTGTAATGAAATTACAATGTATACAAATCACTGAAATAATGTAAATGGTATATACTGTTTTGTAGGAATGCAAAATCCTAAGAAATCTTCAGTTGTCAACTAAATAGTGTAATTATATCTTGATGAAATGTGTCTAAGTCAAAGATGTACGTGTTGTAGAGATCGTGTGCACATTTTTGTGATATTTTTACTAAAATGATGTGCATTCCTTTTCATAATTATTTGTTACTTATTCATATTCTTGGTGTTTGATTACAATTTTTCTATTAAATATGATCTTTTTAAATTAAAAGTACAATTTTTGATAAACATGTTTAATCTGAAAGTAACCCCGAACAGTCTTAATAATTAAATCCTGTGTAAGTGCAAAAAGGTCAAGAATATTGGTATAGGTAAATAGCCTATCTCTCATTAGTTAGAGGGGAAAGGTATATATTTTAATGACTTTTTGTGATTGTTTGGGTATGTTCTTCATCATATTAAAGATTGAAAACATTGTGACAAAGACTTTTGAAAAATATTTACAAATGTAGGGTGGAGAATTGACTAAAAAAGTCCATTTACCTATTTTTTTTTTTAAATATGGAGTTATATTTTATGTCAAGTGAATAAAAAAGAGATTATTCTTGAGAAATATTGCTGAATGTTGTTCAGTTAATAGAGTCTATTAACAACGATGTTTGAAGAGGTATTTTTGTGATTTTTCATATTCTCTTCTTGACAAGTACCCCTAAAAATAACTGAAAATGTGTAGTCGCAGTATGTAACTACCATACCAAGTTGCACAGGCTCTACTAGATTTAAAAACAAGGAAACATACCATGAGATTTTAACTAATTGATAAGCAAGTACTAATTTATCATTTTGAAAAGTTTGAAAATCTTGTGACAAAGACTTATCCGACATAGGTTCTACCTTAATACAACTTAAAAATGTCATCTTTTTGACATAGAGAATAACTGTTATAATCAAAGGCATTTTTAAATAAACAATACAGTTTCATCTGTACATATTTGTTGCTTTCCTTTTGTTTATAATATTATATGACATTGGTGGTTTTAGAGAAAGATTTAGAAACTAACAGCATACAGAACTGCTTTTCAATGTGGCAATGTCAATATGTTAAATTCCAGTGTGTTTATTTGTATTTCAGAAAGAATTTTCCATTTATTTAACACTGGACCAGTATGTCAAACCAGACATCAGAAGGAAAACCCTGCATACCTACATGGGGGACTTCTTCAAAAAGGTAAATAGCTATGAACAGAAAAAAATCTTTGTCTGACAGTCACAGTCTTGAATTTCATATACTGTATACTGTAGAAGCAGAAATTTTCATGGGCCTAAAATTTCAAATATAATTCCGTGTGCATTTAATTTCATTGTTTTAAAACTAACCCTATTCAATATATAGTCAGATAAAATTTCGTGTGGGATTTAATTTTGTTGAATCTTGTTAAAAACGAAATTTAATCCCCCATGAATATTTGTGCTTATACAGTATTGTTTTTTTTACTGCTTTTTAAACAAAATCTGATGAAAATACATAAATTTCTTTCAGAAGGGCAGAAATTGGACTGATGCCTACAGGTGTGTATTGTGCTGGTAGAAACAAATGTCAGAAGGGCTAATCTGATAGTCCAGTGACATTCAGGACAAGGGACACTAGGTTATAGTTTCTGATTTACAATGCAAGAAATTTAAAATGTAGAGTTGTGTAATACTGTGGAGTTTTATGTTTCAGACTGGCAGAGATATTACAGGTGTCTAACATTGAGATGGAAGGGGAGATGATCATGCAGGCTGCTAAAAAAGGAGAAATTAAAGATGTCCTCAGAATCTGCAAGTATGTACTTAAAACATTAAAAACTTGTTAGGATATTCACTAAATCTTATTTTCTGACTTTTAACACATTGACACAATCTTTTAAAAAGTTATGTATTGATATTTTAAGAACTTAATTTGGTTGTGCTTTCTTCTCAATTCTCCTTGGGCTTCTTGTTTTGAATAAAGTCAATATTTTCTATCAAAATTCTTCAAATCTGAGTAACTGATTAAAAAACAGTTTAGAATTTTTGAAAACACACAGATATTAAGTTTGGCAACTAGTAGTATAACCCTTGAGTTCTCTTGTCTGAGATGTAATTATTTGTGATCTAGGAAACTACTAGACTCTGGTCCCTCAGAGAAGACTGCTGAGATTTTCTACAACGTGGCCTTGGTTCTACAAGAAGTATTAAGTGGATCAGAGAATGGAGTAGAGAGTCTGAGAAGCTTACCTAAGATCACACATCAGCTGGTGTGTCAGGCCATGAACATGTGCTCACCCAGTCTCTTACCCAGTCTGATCACGCTCAGTAAAGTCACAAGTCTCTGTGAAGCTGTAGACAGTCAATGTGAGGCAGCCAGCACCTGTCAGGTGAGTTTACTGTCTGTTAGGTGACAGTCAGCACCTATCAGGTGAGTTTACTGTCTGTTAGGTGACAGCCAGCACATGTCAGGTGAGTTTACTGTCTGTTAGGTGACAGCCAACACCTGTCAGGTGAGTTTACTGTCTGTTAGGTGACAGCCAACACCTGTCAGGTGAGTTTACTGTCCGTTAGATGACAGCCAGCACCTGTCAGGTGAGTTTACTGTCTGTAAGGTGACAGCCAGCACCTGTCAGGTGAGTTTACTGTCTGTTAGGTGACAGCCAGCACCTGTCAGGTGAGTTTAGGCCAAGCTTAAAAAATTCTTTGTTTGCAGTTGCAGACCTATAATATTGAGTTATGTCCAAGACACGATGTAGTTACGATATCGACAAATTACTTTTTTATAGTTTACCATAATAGTTCTATATTCTCATGTGTTTATTACAATACTTTTTGTTTTAAGACTATTTCCTTACTGTTAATATCCTCGATATCGTGCCGATATCGAATCATGGTTGCTCTAGGAATTGTGAATTCCATCCTTAATATGGTGTTTTCAACAACTGTTACTTAAAGTCATATACGCTATATGAACGCCAAATTTTGTGTGAAACAAAATCATTAATGATTTAATACACATGAAGTGTAATGAAAAATAATACTTTCCACAAAATTGTACTATAGATGTCGTTGTAAAAACAAAACAATAAAACAATATGTAAGAATTAAGAATTCGGTCATTTCATGAATATTGACGAAGGAAGTGCGTAAACAGTAGGCCTATATATAGAAACACGGGAAATCACAGACAACGAGGTATGTTGCATTTTGACAACAATTATTAATTTAAGTTTAATATGCTTCATAACAGAGAAGATGGTTGATACTGAAAACATTAAAAGATAAGTAACATTAAGTAAAACGCTTGCCATCCACGTCAAAAGTGAGTAGTATCTCAAGCGACCTACCTTGTTTTCTTTACGCCACGTGTGTTTATCAAACTAAAAGTAGCGACGGCGTCACGTGATGGGTTTATTTAAAAATAGCTATTTTTCTTTCCTTGCAGGATAATAAATAATTATAATTTGATAACTTTGTAACGCGTTTAATTTTAATGGTGTAATTTACAGCATTTTCGTAACTTTTATTGATAAACAAATCATATCAATTTCCAATCGTATTTTAACAGGCGCAAGTTATAGCGTGTATACTTTTAAAAATTTCTTTATAAATCTTTCCCTGATGTGTCGATATCGTCGATATCGCTTCGATATCGAATCATGTTTGCTCAGCTCTTGGTAAATACCTTCCCTGTTTCTTAAAATGTGTTTATGTTTAAATACTTTACTTTTACGAAGATTTTACGTGCCATCGATATCGACGATATCGTATCGATATCGATTCATGATTGTTAAGAGCATATTACTTTACCAATCTTCATCCTAATACAAAAACTTTATTTTTACATCACTTCTGTGTTTAAAAAGTTTACCTTACTGTCGATATCGTCGATATCGACGATATCGTGTCGATAACGAATCATGATTGTTAAAACATTTTCAAGAATTTTCACACAAATCTAACATCTTACTCTAAATCTAATCTAAAACAATAACAACCTTAAAATTTTCTTTATCATATTAATTTATTTTTATATTCAATAAGGAATCAATTTGGACTTCACTTGTGACTTTCTAAAATTATGTTATACCTCAATGTGAAAATAGATTATGCAAATAGGATCGATATCGTATCGATATCGTCATGATATTGTTGATATCGATGACATCGACGTAATATATTGTCTCAAATTGGCACCAGGTATTTCCAATTAATAGTGCTGATAACGATCGATATCGATACAATATCGACATAAAATTGTCGATATCGTCGATATCGACATCGAATTCTTTCTTGGACATGTATGATATTTAGACTGGGTCGGTAGGGAGACATTTTTTTTTTTTTTTTTTTTTTTTGGAAAAAAAAATCAGATTTTTGTTAGATAACAATGAAAAGAGGTTTTCATACACCTACTAGAACTGAAAAAGCTCACCTCTGGTTATAAACTACTGAATGATAAAAACGTGTCAAAATTTGAAAAGAAACTGTTTCAATATCCTAAATAATTGCAAAAAAAAAAACCAATTACCAAATGGCTAAAAAAAAGTTTTGGTCGGTGCATTTTCAGTGGGTCGGTAGGCAACTGCAAACAAACTTAACTTTATTTTAGGCCTTACTGTCTGTTAGGTGACAGCCAGCATATGTCAGGTGAGTTTACTGTCTGTTAGATGACAGCCAGCACCTGTCAGGTGAGTTTACTGTCTGTAAGGTGACAGCCAGCACCTGTCAGGTGAGTTTACTGTCTGTTAGGTGACAGCCAACACCTGTCAGGTGAGTTTACTGTCTGTAAGGTGACAGCCAGCACCTGTCAGGTGTGTTTACTGTCTGTTAGATGACAGCCAGCACCTGTCAGGTGAGTTTACTGTCGGTTAGGTGACAGCCAGCACCTGTCAGGTGAGTTTACTGTTGGTTAGGTGACAGCCAACACCTGACAGGTGAGTTTACTATCCGTTAGGTGACAGCCAGCACCTGTCAGGTGATTTTACTGTCGGTTAGGTGACAGCCAACACCTGTCAGGTGAGTTTGCTGTCCGTTAGGTGACAGCCAACACCTGTCAGGTGAGTTTACTGTCTGTTAGTTGACAGCCAGCACCTGTCAGGTGAGTTTACTGTCTGTTAGGTGACAGTCAGCACCTGTCAGGTAAGTTTACTTTCTGTTAGGGGATAGCCAGCACCTGTCAGGTGAGTTTACTGTCCATTAGGTGACAGCCAACACCTGTCAGGTGTGTTTACTGTCCGTTACTTGACAGCCAGCACCTGTCAGGTGAGTTTACTGTCCGTTAGGTGACAGCCAGCACCTGTCAGGTGAGTTTACTGTAGGGTAGGTGACAGCCAACACCTGTCAGGTGAGTTTACTGTCCGTTAGGTGACAGCCAACACCTGTCAGGTGAGTTTACTGTCTGTTAGGTAACAGCCAGCACCTGTCAGGTGAGTTTACTGTCTGTTAGGTGACAGTCAGCACCTGTCAGGTGAGTTTACTCTGTGTTAGGTGATAGCCAGCACCTGTCAGGTGAGTTCACTGTCCGTTAGGTGACAGCCAACACCTGTCAGGTGAGTTTACTGTCCGTTAGTTGACAGCCAGCACCTGTCAGGTGAGTTTTGTCCGTTAGGTGACAGCCAGCACCTGTCAGGTGAGTTTACTGTCCGTTAGGTGACAGGTGAGTTTACTGTCCGTTAGGTGACAGCCAGCACCTGTCAGGTGAGTTTATTGTCTGTAAGGTGACAGTCAGCACCTGTCAGGTGAGTTTACTGTCTGTTAGGTGACAAGTCAGCACCTGTCAGGTGAGTTTACTGTCTGTTAGGTGACAAGTTTCTATGAAGCTGTAGAGAGCCAGTGTGAAGCAGCCAGCACCTGTCAGGTGAGTTTACTATCTGTTAGGTTACAAGTCAGCACCTGTCAGGTGAATTTACCATCTGTTAGATGACAAGTCTCTGTAGATAGCCAATGTGAAAAAACACCTATTATACATTGTACAATTACAGTGTACATTGTTTCAAAATCTACATGCACAAACATGGAGAATAAGACAAGGTTTAAAAAATGAAGCCATATGTTTATTTTTCCCTTCTTTAGGATGACATTTGGGAGGGAGTTGTTCAGGGCAAGACAGTGGACAGAGACTGGAGAATTGACGACTCGTTTCAGGATGATGCTCTCGTGATGAATTCACAGTTTGTTCTCCCCCTGGTTGCTAAGTATGCAATGTCACAGCCAGCAACCACAAGTAATGGTAAACTACACACACAAATTATTCATCTCTTTGAATGGCAGTTCTCAATAAGAAATCTTATTTATATTTCAAATGCAAACAAGTTTAGCATACTTGGTGGAGCAAATTATGAATGAATTCAAGATTCCATGTTTAAAGTATTGAACAACACAGACATTTGACCTTCTGAAATGTTGAAAAAGTTTATGTTTTAGATACAGTAGTTTATTATAAAACAAAAGGTTAAATCTTTCAAGACATATTTATCTCTTAGTTTACTGAACAATTCACTGACATCAAAAGGTTTATATCATTTTTTTACTCTACAGAAGATAAACCTGGCCCTGACCTGGCCATCCAGAAACAGACCGTGTTACCTGTCCTTCAACATCTGAAGGACAACAGTCATCACCTGCTGGCTCTACAGTTTGCCCTTCATATGACCTTCACTGCCATGGAAACCATTATGACCCCAACAGAACAACATGTAATTTCTTTAATGTGTTTAGAACTTGATAATCATTTCAATACTGCATTTTGAAATTCAATTTCTTATACATCTTTTTTAGTTTTTTAGAGTAGGAAATACAAGGAAATATTTCATCTCTACTTTCAAAATAGCCAATAAAATGAAACAGCAAAAAAAGTAGTGAAAATGAAATGTTACCATTGAATCAAATTTGAAGAAGAAAGAATTTCAGAAAATTTCCATTAAATGTTTCGTATAATGGCTGTTAATATTGAGTGTATTGAGAATGTTGTGTTGTTAATTTAAACAAAGGACTCCAGCAACCCTGCAGATAATAATAAAGTGAATCAACTGATGCAGCAAAGTTCACCCCTCATCAGAGAGTTTACCTCAGCTCTTCTCATGAAGGTATGCTATGTGTGTGTGTTGGGGGGGGGGGTATTAGTTCTTGTCTTGTTTTCTTTTCATCAATCTAATTACATGCCTTCAATACACCTACAGGTGTTTAACTGTCAAGAAGTGGACCACAGACTGGCACTGTCTCTCCTCATCAACCGACCCAAAAACGAGGGACTGAAGATGATGATGAGTCTGATCAAAGCCTCGGGACACAAGTATAAGAAACTCAGGGTAAGATTCCTCATGTACAGTGTACATAATGACAGGATAATGAGATTTACTGACTTTAAGTTAATGTATTGAACATAAGTCATTGTATTGAACATTGACTGAAGATGATGATGAGTCTGATAAAAGCCACAGGACACAAGTATAACAGGGCTCGACATTAACCTTTTTTCCTACTTGTCCATTTGGACAAGTGACCAAGATATTTACATGTCCAAACTTCAACTTCACTTGTCCGAAAATTTTTAAATGGATATCTTATTCTGTCAACTTGAAAACAATTACTTAAATTAAAAATTTAAACGTGCTTGATTTATTAGTGTTGATATAGATAAATAAGACAAACACATATAAAACAAAATTTTATCTAGACTTCCTGTCCTGACAACAACATAAATGTTCGCAAGTGAATCTGTAATATCAATCAAATATATTCCAAATCCGAAAATGTCGTAAGATCCACGCCGTGCAATAGTATGGCTGCAATTAGTGAACATCGATCCCGATCAAGTGTGAACTTACATAGCGATTGATATTGGGATCGAAATTCTGGTTTATGTACTCCTTCCGTTTTATTTTGATAAGTTGTTTTTCAATGATTATTATTATTTGAAGACTTCTTTACATAAAAAAATCACTTGTCCAATCGGACAAGTGCCCAGCAATATTCACTTGTCCGTATTTTTATACGCCCGTCTTAAGACGGGACGTATTATGTTATAGGCTTCGTGTCCGTCCGTCTGTCTGTCTGTTAGCTTTTTCGTTCCGGCTCATAACTTAAATACTATTAGGCCTAGGGTTATCAAACTTTGTCATCTGATGCATCTTGGGTAGAAGGTGTGTCGCGCACAAAAAGTAGGTCGCTCTGACCTTTAATTAGGAAGATATAGCCAAATATGGAAAAATCCTTTCCGGCCCATAACTAGAAAACTATAAGACTTACAATCATCAAACTTGGCCAGTTTATGCATCTTAGGTAGAAGGTGTGTTGCGACATATTTCAAGGTCACTGTGACCTTTGATTTAAATGAAATTTAAAAAAAAAAATGTGTCTTTTTACCATTCATTTACACATCCCAAATAATGTAAGAGTATTGCACTGTCCTTATTAAAAAATGGTTAAATCAAGAAAATACTTATTTTTTTAAGCATATACTTGACAGCAATCTATAACAACTATTATGTATGTTAGAGAAATCCTACCTCTCCCATGAGTGTAATTATCAAGCACTGGTCAAGACTCAAGAAGAATTTTGATAACAGAAAATTGCATGTCAAATTAGAGAGAAATTAATGAGTTTTGAGTGTGAGGAGCTAACTGATAGAGTATGGTGTTATCTATATCCCTTGAGTATTGAGCAAATGGGTAAGCCTGTTTGATTAAAAATAGCTCTTGTTGGCTTCCTAAGTTTTAAAATGAATTTGATGAAAAGTAATTAAAACTAATTTGATATTGCATAGTAGACTAAACTTATATAAAATTGTTAATTTATAACAACTAATTTTATGGGATGGGGTGGAAACAGCATGTCCATATGAATTTTATATTAAAACCTGTCAGACATTAAATCTCAACAAAAAAAAATCTGAGTATTTTATATGTTTTAAAAAAAATTATGGTAGATTGTGCAGACCCATTCATCTATTGGTATTAATGAGTAGACAAGCATCCAGTTAAAGATTAATGAGTTCAGGCTAGCTCTCTGATCAAGCTGTATGCTGACCTTTGGGAATTAGACAGAAGAACTGTTGGTTAGTTTAAAGCATATGTCATTTTATGGCCAGCCTTTTCTTTTCAAAATTAATTTGGTATAGATTAAGTTGTTAAGACTAATTTGATATAGTTTAATATGATGGGCATTGACAAGGTCTAACACAATCAGCATAGAAATCCATCAATGATGTAATAGTTCTTATAATTAATGTTTACATCACAGGGGATGGATAAATATTTTTAGGAATGGAAAAATCATAAAAAAATCATGGAAATCTTAGAATCAGGGTTGAAGAGATTGCAATTGCAAGCAAAACTGTTCAAGGAAATTGTAATTTTTTTACGGGCATATCATGCTGTGGCGTGGCACTTTATTTTTTCATTGGTACCGGACAAGCGTTAATGTCGAGCCCTGGTATAAGAAACTCAGGGTAAGATTCCTCATGTACAGTGTACTGTAGATCAATTAATTTTCGCGACACCTTATTTTCGCGAGATAGTTATTGACTCTTGATTAGCGAGACAAAATTTTCACGAATTGTGGTTATTGCTTTTTATAATCTTAAGAAATACTATTATACGCGAGAATTAAATTTTCGCGAGCAAACTGCCTAGCATAATTACGCGAAAATAAAGTTCTTGCGAATAAAAAGTGATTTACAGTATATAATGACAGGATAATGAGATTATTGACTTGAAGTTATTGTACACAAGTCATTGTTTTGAACATTGACTGTAAATGAAAATGAGTGACCAAAGTCTCTGGACAGAAGTATAAGTATTTGCTGTATTATTAGTCATTTGTTTGGAAATTGAAAATGAATGTGTCCATTTTCAGGCTATTGGTAATAAATAGTGAAATTTAGCATGTTTATTTTAGGCCATGGGTAATGTGGGTATAGGCATTGGTCAGCTCTATAGAGAGGCCTCGGTGATAGAAATGTGTGAGAAACTGAAGAAGAATGCCAGCTGGGGGCACAGACTGGGAAAAATGAAGGTGAGAATAGGAAGAGGAATGCTACACCAAATACTCTACAAAGATATACTGAGAACAGGGCAAATATGATAAATAAGTTACAGTAAAGCTTTATGTCAATTTCTAAAGTGCATATGCATATATACACAATTTTTGTTGGGCGGAGTATGCAACACTAAACCAGTGATTTCATTAAGTTTTGGAATAGCAGGAAATAATTTAAGAACAGCAGGAAACCCATTATCGGCGAGGGGTCTGGGGGCCGCCTTAGGCCCCCAGCGGGTCCAGGGCAGAGCCCTGGTGGGGGGCCCAGGGGGTCGAAGCCCCCCGGCCGAAAACGAAAATAGCCATTTTTGAAGGTACTTTTCCTGCCTCTAAGGCCATCAAAAAGTGCAATTTTTATCAAATGTTTACCACTAAAATATGCTTAACTTGATCTTAAATGGTGCCATTTTGAAGACTCTCTATTCACCAATTTGTAAAGATTCAAACTATAATTTTTCTTCCTCATTACCAATTTAGAGCTAATAAAAAATATTAAATGTGCAGTCTGTGCTTAATTTTTGTAAGGAATATACTGTATATTTACTCCCTTTCACATGCCTGTATATTTTAATCAACCTTTAATGAAAACAACCATCAAAATTATATTTTTTAATTTCCTGTTCATGCATTACACAAATTAAGGAATTTTAGAATTAAAAGTCATCATCTGAATTCCAATCAGATTCACTATCAACACTGAATTTTTTTCTATACTCCTCTGCTTCCCTGAGATTTTTTGCTATTTTTAATTGTAGAAGAGTATTTTCAAAAAGTTTGTCTTTATCATGGTCATCATCACAGGTTGATCCAACATCATCAGCTTCTTCTTCATCATCAACATCTGTGCCATGTGATACATGTAATACTGGTTCGGACTCAGTCTGGACTTCTGCCTCCATATATGTTTTCCTGCTATCCTCTCCTGTACCTATTAAATTTAATTTGAAATCTAAGAAAGGTCTCAAATTAAATGAATTTAGATCTCAAAATTATCATTATTTTTTTTTTTACCAATTCTACTGGAAAAAAATTTACCTGAAGTCCTACTGGAAGGAATCTTCCTCCTTTTCTTGGCAGAGATCCACATGTCAACTGCATCAGAAACTAAACCATCACACTTCTCTGTGCACAAGTCTGGACCATTGACAGCAATCTGTAGTAATCCATTCAACATATCATTTTTTAGTCTGTTTCTGAGATCAGTTTTAATGATTTTTACTTTTGAGGCACCTCTCTCTGGCCATGCATTAGAAAGTGGCACTGTAAGTACCAATTCTACAAGTTTTGTAAGGTAGGGGCACATGTAATTATATTCGTTTTTATGCTTCATAATTTCACTCAAACACCATTCCAAAGGAGTAAAATCATCTGATGCAGGTATTTGACACTTTTTTTCTGCAATATGATATTTCATCAGGTGCCATTCTGCTTTTACTTCAGCAAGGGACTGGGTGCAACCTTCTGAGAGAAACTGCTGGTGAATAATTTCGACAGCATCGTCACCATATGAACTGAAGCTTTCACTGTCCTTATCAGGAATGTGGCAGGGATTGAAAATATTGAGAGCAACTAAAATTGGAACATCAGGAAAGCGTCTTTCAATATTTTCCACTAATGCAGAAATATAGTTGCTAAGTGTCTGTCCAAGCTGGTGTTCAGTATTCTGGTTTATTATGATATCTAGTAGTTCAAGCCTTCCACCTTCACTCAATTCAGATTTAGCCAACTCAATTGGACTTCTTTCACTTCTTATCTGTTTCAGTTCTTGAACTGCACTGTCTAAAGTAGGCTGAATTGTACTAAAATTCAGATAACTCTTCTGAAAAATCCTACTTATTTTCCCCAGAATTGGTAAAATTGCATGAAGAATGAAGAGCAAACCTACAAAATGGGCAGAATGCATTTTCTTTAGTAATCCGTAAGCAGCAGCATCACTTTCAGAAAGTTCACTCAGAGTTTGAACTAAAGGAATCAGATCGTCCATTGCAGCAGCAACTGATGCCTCAAAACTCAACCATCTGGTTTTACATGCCCGTTTCAGAATTTTTACACACTTCTTTTTTTCTGATGAGTCAAGTACAAGGCTTCTGTAGCCCTCAAGGTGTTTCAGAAAACAAGCCATCTTCTTTGGGGAATAATGAAATAATTTCCAAAGCTGTAGCATATACGTCTCAACATTCCCTACACACTTGAGATTAGAATTGGTGTCTGTACATGCTAATGCCAACCGATGGCATACACAATGAGTTGCAATCAGACATTTGTTCATATGTTTCAGTTTAGCACTTAAGCCATCTTTTTTACCAATCATCACACTTGCACCATCTGTACACAAACCAGTTATCTTCATCATATCTAGATTCATGGCTTCAAAATTTTCACAAAGCACCTTGAAAAGAGTTTCAGAGTTTGCCGAGTGTGACTTTTCCAGTAAATTTGCAATGAAAAGGAAATCTGTTTGAACACTCCCACGCTCTTGGTCAAAGTATTGAATGTACACAATCATCTGTTCAAGTGACGACACATCAGATAGATCATCAATCATTAAACCATAGCAGTTTGAAGATTGCAATTTTTTTATTAAATCATTTCTCAAAGTATCTGATAAAGTTAATAAAACTTCTCTTTGCGACCCTGCTGATCTGTGACTGAAATATTTCAAATCTTTCAATCCAATATGTTCCATGAATTTCATTAGTTTGTTAATCTTAAAGTTAGCAATCATCTGATCTGCAACAAACAAATGAGAATAGAAAGCTTGGAATAAAACTTCATTTTTGACTTCTAATTTTCTGTCAATTTCTCTTTGAAAAACTGAAACTCGATTTAGAGATTCACTATATTTTGCTGCTTCATGACATTTTGTTTTCAGGTGTTCCTGCAAAGCTAACTTCCTAAATCTTTTACTTGGTTCATCTGCAAATACAGCTGATCTGTTTCTCGGATTTTTAATATTATGTTTTCTACAAAGTAGACAGTAGACTCCTTGTTCCTCAACGAAAACGAAATGCCATAATCTTGTAACCTTACAGAAAGACAATTCTTTTGAGTTCAGCCAAGCATGATCAAATTTTTCCTTTGATTTTAGAGAGCAACAGTCACTCCTGCGGCAAAGCATGAAGTTATGAATCTTTTGAGAAATATCATTTTTTTCAATGTCAGGAAAACAGGACTCAATTAATTTTAAATGTTCATTTTCTGAAAGACTTGTACATGTCAGGACAGTGGACACATCACAGCTACTTTCAGACTGGGTCAGACTGGCATTAATTACATTTGTTGAGGATCTTTCCGCTTGTGTCAGCTCATTTGGTTTGCAAATATTTTGATTTATATCAAGATTTTCTGAGTTAGTACCTACAACTATAAAAAATAAAACAGATAAGAAACGAATGAAGATTGATTTAATCAGTATACCAATCAACGATAAAAGTTTAGAACTGCAAAAACATAACATCTACTCTAGGGCAATTTATTAAATATATTCAATATATTTATTCGGGAAAAAAGAAGTTAAAGTCTGAAAGAGATCAACGTAAGTACTTCCAGGTAATCTACTTCTTAAATGTAGGAAAATAATTTGACTTTCCTTTTAGAACGTAATAAAAATCACAAGAAGTTTCAAGTTATATCAGAGGAAATTCTGGTATATCACTATACATGTGCCTTGAAAGAATGTCGAATCACGGAGTTAAATGTTAAATTATGGGGAAAAAAATAAAGACTTATGTCTTAAAAAAAATATACATAAAATACTGTTACTTTACCTCGCTTAGTGACGGGTACCGGTAGAAAAAAATCGTTTATTTTCCTCTTCGACATTTCGATGTTGTGTGACATATGGTGGGAACCAGTTCACGTTTATTCTGTGTCATCGATATTAGCTATATTGACGCCATAATTTCAAACGCAGTAATGATAGGGATTTTGATGTTAACTAAATCGAAGTTAATTCGTAATTCGGCAGATTTTTTTTTTGAAGACGGAAATCTCAGCCGGCAAATTTTCTACTACAGGCGGTTAATTTTGCCGGTTGCCGGCTCTTATTGAAAACACTGCACATGTCAACTGCATCAGAAACTAAACCATCACACTTCTCTGTGCACAAGTCTGGACCATTGACAGCAATCTGTAGTAATCCATTCAACATATCATTTTTTAGTCTGTTTCTGAGATCAGTTTTAATGATTTTTACTTTTGAGGCACCTCTCTCTGGCCATGCATTAGAAAGTGGCACTGTAAGTACCAATTCTACAAGTTTTGTAAGGTAGGGGCACATGTAATTATATTCGTTTTTATGCTTCATAATTTCACTCAAACACCATTCCAAAGGAGTAAAATCATCTGATGCAGGTATTTGACACTTTTTTTCTGCAATATGATATTTCATCAGGTGCCATTCTGCTTTTACTTCAGCAAGGGACTGGGTGCAACCTTCTGAGAGAAACTGCTGGTGAATAATTTCGACAGCATCGTCACCATATGAACTGAAGCTTTCACTGTCCTTATCAGGAATGTGGCAGGGATTGAAAATATTGAGAGCAACTAAAATTGGAACATCAGGAAAGCGTCTTTCAATATTTTCCACTAATGCAGAAATATAGTTGCTAAGTGTCTGTCCAAGCTGGTGTTCAGTATTCTGGTTTATTATGATATCTAGTAGTTCAAGCCTTCCACCTTCACTCAATTCAGATTTAGCCAACTCAATTGGACTTCTTTCACTTCTTATCTGTTTCAGTTCTTGAACTGCACTGTCTAAAGTAGGCTGAATTGTACTAAAATTCAGATAACTCTTCTGAAAAATCCTACTTATTTTCCCCAGAATTGGTAAAATTGCATGAAGAATGAAGAGCAAACCTACAAAATGGGCAGAATGCATTTTCTTTAGTAATCCGTAAGCAGCAGCATCACTTTCAGAAAGTTCACTCAGAGTTTGAACTAAAGGAATCAGATCGTCCATTGCAGCAGCAACTGATGCCTCAAAACTCAACCATCTGGTTTTACATGCCCGTTTCAGAATTTTTACACACTTCTTTTTTTCTGATGAGTCAAGTACAAGGCTTCTGTAGCCCTCAAGGTGTTTCAGAAAACAAGCCATCTTCTTTGGGGAATAATGAAATAATTTCCAAAGCTGTAGCATATACGTCTCAACATTCCCTACACACTTGAGATTAGAATTGGTGTCTGTACATGCTAATGCCAACCGATGGCATACACAATGAGTTGCAATCAGACATTTGTTCATATGTTTCAGTTTAGCACTTAAGCCATCTTTTTTACCAATCATCACACTTGCACCATCTGTACACAAACCAGTTATCTTCATCATATCTAGATTCATGGCTTCAAAATTTTCACAAAGCACCTTGAAAAGAGTTTCAGAGTTTGCCGAGTGTGACTTTTCCAGTAAATTTGCAATGAAAAGGAAATCTGTTTGAACACTCCCACGCTCTTGGTCAAAGTATTGAATGTACACAATCATCTGTTCAAGTGACGACACATCAGATAGATCATCAATCATTAAACCATAGCAGTTTGAAGATTGCAATTTTTTTATTAAATCATTTCTCAAAGTATCTGATAAAGTTAATAAAACTTCTCTTTGCGACCCTGCTGATCTGTGACTGAAATATTTCAAATCTTTCAATCCAATATGTTCCATGAATTTCATTAGTTTGTTAATCTTAAAGTTAGCAATCATCTGATCTGCAACAAACAAATGAGAATAGAAAGCTTGGAATAAAACTTCATTTTTGACTTCTAATTTTCTGTCAATTTCTCTTTGAAAAACTGAAACTCGATTTAGAGATTCACTATATTTTGCTGCTTCATGACATTTTGTTTTCAGGTGTTCCTGCAAAGCTAACTTCCTAAATCTTTTACTTGGTTCATCTGCAAATACAGCTGATCTGTTTCTCGGATTTTTAATATTATGTTTTCTACAAAGTAGACAGTAGACTCCTTGTTCCTCAACGAAAACGAAATGCCATAATCTTGTAACCTTACAGAAAGACAATTCTTTTGAGTTCAGCCAAGCATGATCAAATTTTTCCTTTGATTTTAGAGAGCAACAGTCACTCCTGCGGCAAAGCATGAAGTTATGAATCTTTTGAGAAATATCATTTTTTTCAATGTCAGGAAAACAGGACTCAATTAATTTTAAATGTTCATTTTCTGAAAGACTTGTACATGTCAGGACAGTGGACACATCACAGCTACTTTCAGACTGGGTCAGACTGGCATTAATTACATTTGTTGAGGATCTTTCCGCTTGTGTCAGCTCATTTGGTTTGCAAATATTTTGATTTATATCAAGATTTTCTGAGTTAGTACCTACAACTATAAAAAATAAAACAGATAAGAAACGAATGAAGATTGATTTAATCAGTATACCAATCAACGATAAAAGTTTAGAACTGCAAAAACATAACATCTACTCTAGGGCAATTTATTAAATATATTCAATATATTTATTCGGGAAAAAAGAAGTTAAAGTCTGAAAGAGATCAACGTAAGTACTTCCAGGTAATCTACTTCTTAAATGTAGGAAAATAATTTGACTTTCCTTTTAGAACGTAATAAAAATCACAAGAAGTTTCAAGTTATATCAGAGGAAATTCTGGTATATCACTATACATGTGCCTTGAAAGAATGTCGAATCACGGAGTTAAATGTTAAATTATGGGGAAAAAAATAAAGACTTATGTCTTAAAAAAAATATACATAAAATACTGTTACTTTACCTCGCTTAGTGACGGGTACCGGTAGAAAAAAATCGTTTATTTTCCTCTTCGACATTTCGATGTTGTGTGACATATGGTGGGAACCAGTTCACGTTTATTCTGTGTCATCGATATTAGCTATATTGACGCCATAATTTCAAACGCAGTAATGATAGGGATTTTGATGTTAACTAAATCGAAGTTAATTCGTAATTCGGCAGATTTTTTTTTTGAAGACGGAAATCTCAGCCGGCAAATTTTCTACTACAGGCGGTTAATTTTGCCGGTTGCCGGCTCTTATTGAAAACACTGCACATGTCAACTGCATCAGAAACTAAACCATCACACTTCTCTGTGCACAAGTCTGGACCATTGACAGCAATCTGTAGTAATCCATTCAACATATCATTTTTTAGTCTGTTTCTGAGATCAGTTTTAATGATTTTTACTTTTGAGGCACCTCTCTCTGGCCATGCATTAGAAAGTGGCACTGTAAGTACCAATTCTACAAGTTTTGTAAGGTAGGGGCACATGTAATTATATTCGTTTTTATGCTTCATAATTTCACTCAAACACCATTCCAAAGGAGTAAAATCATCTGATGCAGGTATTTGACACTTTTTTTCTGCAATATGATATTTCATCAGGTGCCATTCTGCTTTTACTTCAGCAAGGGACTGGGTGCAACCTTCTGAGAGAAACTGCTGGTGAATAATTTCGACAGCATCGTCACCATATGAACTGAAGCTTTCACTGTCCTTATCAGGAATGTGGCAGGGATTGAAAATATTGAGAGCAACTAAAATTGGAACATCAGGAAAGCGTCTTTCAATATTTTCCACTAATGCAGAAATATAGTTGCTAAGTGTCTGTCCAAGCTGGTGTTCAGTATTCTGGTTTATTATGATATCTAGTAGTTCAAGCCTTCCACCTTCACTCAATTCAGATTTAGCCAACTCAATTGGACTTCTTTCACTTCTTATCTGTTTCAGTTCTTGAACTGCACTGTCTAAAGTAGGCTGAATTGTACTAAAATTCAGATAACTCTTCTGAAAAATCCTACTTATTTTCCCCAGAATTGGTAAAATTGCATGAAGAATGAAGAGCAAACCTACAAAATGGGCAGAATGCATTTTCTTTAGTAATCCGTAAGCAGCAGCATCACTTTCAGAAAGTTCACTCAGAGTTTGAACTAAAGGAATCAGATCGTCCATTGCAGCAGCAACTGATGCCTCAAAACTCAACCATCTGGTTTTACATGCCCGTTTCAGAATTTTTACACACTTCTTTTTTTCTGATGAGTCAAGTACAAGGCTTCTGTAGCCCTCAAGGTGTTTCAGAAAACAAGCCATCTTCTTTGGGGAATAATGAAATAATTTCCAAAGCTGTAGCATATACGTCTCAACATTCCCTACACACTTGAGATTAGAATTGGTGTCTGTACATGCTAATGCCAACCGATGGCATACACAATGAGTTGCAATCAGACATTTGTTCATATGTTTCAGTTTAGCACTTAAGCCATCTTTTTTACCAATCATCACACTTGCACCATCTGTACACAAACCAGTTATCTTCATCATATCTAGATTCATGGCTTCAAAATTTTCACAAAGCACCTTGAAAAGAGTTTCAGAGTTTGCCGAGTGTGACTTTTCCAGTAAATTTGCAATGAAAAGGAAATCTGTTTGAACACTCCCACGCTCTTGGTCAAAGTATTGAATGTACACAATCATCTGTTCAAGTGACGACACATCAGATAGATCATCAATCATTAAACCATAGCAGTTTGAAGATTGCAATTTTTTTATTAAATCATTTCTCAAAGTATCTGATAAAGTTAATAAAACTTCTCTTTGCGACCCTGCTGATCTGTGACTGAAATATTTCAAATCTTTCAATCCAATATGTTCCATGAATTTCATTAGTTTGTTAATCTTAAAGTTAGCAATCATCTGATCTGCAACAAACAAATGAGAATAGAAAGCTTGGAATAAAACTTCATTTTTGACTTCTAATTTTCTGTCAATTTCTCTTTGAAAAACTGAAACTCGATTTAGAGATTCACTATATTTTGCTGCTTCATGACATTTTGTTTTCAGGTGTTCCTGCAAAGCTAACTTCCTAAATCTTTTACTTGGTTCATCTGCAAATACAGCTGATCTGTTTCTCGGATTTTTAATATTATGTTTTCTACAAAGTAGACAGTAGACTCCTTGTTCCTCAACGAAAACGAAATGCCATAATCTTGTAACCTTACAGAAAGACAATTCTTTTGAGTTCAGCCAAGCATGATCAAATTTTTCCTTTGATTTTAGAGAGCAACAGTCACTCCTGCGGCAAAGCATGAAGTTATGAATCTTTTGAGAAATATCATTTTTTTCAATGTCAGGAAAACAGGACTCAATTAATTTTAAATGTTCATTTTCTGAAAGACTTGTACATGTCAGGACAGTGGACACATCACAGCTACTTTCAGACTGGGTCAGACTGGCATTAATTACATTTGTTGAGGATCTTTCCGCTTGTGTCAGCTCATTTGGTTTGCAAATATTTTGATTTATATCAAGATTTTCTGAGTTAGTACCTACAACTATAAAAAATAAAACAGATAAGAAACGAATGAAGATTGATTTAATCAGTATACCAATCAACGATAAAAGTTTAGAACTGCAAAAACATAACATCTACTCTAGGGCAATTTATTAAATATATTCAATATATTTATTCGGGAAAAAAGAAGTTAAAGTCTGAAAGAGATCAACGTAAGTACTTCCAGGTAATCTACTTCTTAAATGTAGGAAAATAATTTGACTTTCCTTTTAGAACGTAATAAAAATCACAAGAAGTTTCAAGTTATATCAGAGGAAATTCTGGTATATCACTATACATGTGCCTTGAAAGAATGTCGAATCACGGAGTTAAATGTTAAATTATGGGGAAAAAAATAAAGACTTATGTCTTAAAAAAATATACATAAAATACTGTTACTTTACCTCGCTTAGTGACGGGTACCGGTAGAAAAAAATCGTTTATTTTCCTCTTCGACATTTCGATGTTGTGTGACATATGGTGGGAACCAGTTCACGTTTATTCTGTGTCATCGATATTAGCTATATTGACGCCATAATTTCAAATGCAGTAATGATAGGGATTTTGATGTTAACTAAATCGAAGTTAATTCGTAATTCGGCAGATTTTTTTTTTGAAGACGGAAATCTCAGCCGGCAAATTTTCTACTACAGGCGGTTAATTTTGCCGGTTGCCGGCTCTTATTGAAAACACTGTAAACTGGTTATATGTGAATAATCAATGAATAAAGCTCTGGCTTTTGTAGATAAATTTCAGTGAAGTATTTGGAAATCAAGTATGCAACACTAAACTGGTTATATGTGAATAATCAATGAATAAAGCTCTGGCTTTTGTAGATAAATTTTAGTGAAGTACATGTATTTGGAAATCGAGTATGCAACACTAAACTGGTTATATGTGAATAATCAATGAATAAAGCTCTGGCTTTTGTAGATAAATTTCAGTGAAGTATTTGGAAATCCAGACAGTGAGAAAAGAAAGTTGCTGCCACAACTCGTCCAAAGTGAGGCAGCTTCTGTGTCCCTGATCCAAGAATTTTGTCGGTAAGATTTCAAAATAAAAACTCAACCAGATGCACTATTGCATTAAATGTCTAGCTTTGACTGTGACTGATTTCTGACTGACAGGGAGTTTTGTCTGGATGAGGATGAAGCCTTGATGCTCTACCTGGATCACGTCTTCACCAAACCTGAATCTCTGGATCTGTTGAACGGAACATCGAAGCTGGACAAAGCTAGGATTGCTATCAGAGAGATCAGTGCCAAGGACAATCTGATGAAGAAGCTCGTCACCATGTACAGCAAGGTATTTGTTCCTGACACTTAAAAAATGATAATTTGGTCACTAGCTGTGGTGTTTGTTGAACTCTTTTCGGTATGATGCATGAAAGTGCAGTATTTAAACATTCATCTTGTACCCTTCAGACAGATTCCTATGATTATGAAACCTTAGCTTTCCTGTTGAATGAGATGCAGAGACTGGAAATTCAGATTAATCAACTTCATCCAGATAAGGTACTTGAAAACAACTTATTTGAAACCCATTTATGACATTTTTTTAAGCTAAAAAATATCGTTCATAATGTTCATAAATTACATGTAATACAAAATAATGGCCCATGGACACGTATAATACAAATATACTTTGACATTTAAGATGCATTCTCTAAGTATCCTATTTTGAATGTATCCTTTGGTGGGTTAAGTCACAGAAAGCTTTATTTTGTGAAGGTCTTGTTGTTGCTGAATTACTTGAGAGTTTACAAGAGGAAGTCAGAGCCCTCTAAGTATGAAGTACAGCACCACTCAGGAGAAAACAGGGACGATGTGAGTTATCTCAACTATTTCCTAGAAATCATCACTCTTGCATGTAAAAAAAAAAAAAAGTAATAAAAGAGATTGTTATGGCCTATTGCATTTGAAAAGAATTATAATTTTACCAAGCATTGAAAAGAGAATTTCAGACTTTAATTGATATGCAACTCAGGGAGTATGAGTTACTTAAAAAACAAAAATAATTTTTAGCTTCATATAATGGAGTGTTTACCCGCTGCCAGTAAAAATCGTCTTCCGTTTCATCCCCTGGTAAATGACGACCCCTGGAAAATCATCAGTAAGTTTTATTATTTTAAAAGACCAAGTACTGTGTTTTTATATTTTACATTATAAAGTACAGAGGTCTTAGCATAAGAGATATATTGCAGTGAAAAATACTATTAAATTTGTAGCACCTGAGTTGACCAAAGAGACCATAGCTACCTGGTTGAACATGGCACCACTTTTAAAGGTAAATAATAGAAATATATTATTAAGCTTGTATTCTAAGAGGAATCTTTATATACATGTACCTGTATATTTATTTCATTTGATTAGCTGAACGGAGACCAGTTTAGGCATACTCTTATGCTTGCATTCTGAGAGTTTTCCATACCGTAAATCTTGAAATTTTTACTGTAGATAAATTTTTAACAAATTTGCGCGTGCATTGCATTTGCAAAAATATTTTTCTTAAAAATAAATCAACATGTGAAGATTTTTTTTTCTGAGACCTGTCTTTTTTTAAGTCATTGAATATGCGTCGGTAAGCACTGGTCATTTATAAAAGAAACCTGTTTACACTATAGTCTACTATAACTACGAGTAATTACCCGTGCATGTAAATTGCCCTCATTATAGGCAATATCGTCCGATGATTGACAAGCACTGTGGCGGTATACCCCTTTTTAGCTCACCTGAGCCGAAGGCTCAAGTGAGCATTTCTGATCACATTTTGTCCGTCGTCCGTCCGTCCGTCTGTAAACTTTTCACATATTTGACTTCTTCTCAAGAACCACTTGGCCAATTTTGACCAAACTTGGTACAAAGCATCCTTGGGTGAAGGGGAATTAAAATTGTTAAAATGAAGGGCCAAGTTCCCTCACAAGGGGAGATAATCAAGAAAGACAAAAATAGGGTGGGGTCATTAAAAAATCTTCTTCTCAAGAACCACTGAGCCAGAAAAGCTGAAACTTATGTGGAAGCATCCTGGGGTAGTGTAGATTTTAAATTGTAAAAATCATGACCCCCGGGGGAAGGGCGGGGCCACAATGGGGAATCCAAGTTTTACATAGAAATATATGAGAAAAATCTTTGAAAATCTTCTTCTCAAGAACCACTGGGCCAGAAAAGCTGAAACTTATGTGGAAGCATTCTGGGGTAATGTAGATTCTAAATTGTGAAAAATCATGGCCCCTGGGGGTTGGGCGGGGCCACAATGGGGAATCAAAGTAACTTACATAGAAATATATAGAAAAAATCTTTGAAAATCTTCCTCTCAAGAACCACTGGGTTCAGAAAAGCTAAAACTTACGTGGAAGCATCCTGGGGTAGTGTAGATTCTTAATTGTTCAATCATGACCCCCAGGGGTAGGGCAGGGCCACAATGGGGAATCCAAGTTTTACATAGAAATATATAGGAAAAATCATTGAAAATTTTATACTCAAGAAGCACTGAGCCAGAAAAGCTGAAACTTATGTTGAAGCATCCTAGGGCAGTGTAGATTCTAAATTGTAAAAATCATGACCCCCGGGGGTAGGGCGGGGCCACAATGGGGAATCCAAGTTTTACATAGAGTTATATAGGAAAAATCTTTGAAAATCTTTTTCTCAAGAACTACGTGGCCAGAAAAGCTGAAACTTATGTGGAAGCATCCTGGGATAGTGTAGATTCTAAATTATTCTAATTATGACCCCCAGGGGTAGGGTGGGGCCACAGTGGGGAATCAGAGTTTTACAATGTTGAATCAAAGCATCCTATGGTAGTGTAGATTTCATATTGTTTAAATTATGATAAGTTGGGTAGGGTGGGGTCACAATATGTATTACAAGGGGGAAATCTGGTTAAGAACGGAATGGTCAAAGCTTCTCAGGTGAGCGATGTGGCCCATGGGCCTCTTGTTAATTATTTTAATCAATTTATTTGCCAATAAAGAGAGAACTGTCATTTTATCTAACCGTTTATCAACACGGGCGATAACTCAAACTCATTGCATTTACTAGAAAGTTCCAAATGTAAACGCGGCGCGTAAATTTTAGGTGAGAAAAAAACCAAACGTTGAGAAAATTAGTTATATTTTTTCTTCATTTGGATTATACTTTAGGTTAAAAGGCATACACAACCTCTAAAATGTTTGTTATACTTGATTTAGAAATTATTTTCAGTGCAATTCCTTTAGTATTTTTATCAAAATTGTTTCAGAGCGATTTTGCAATATCTTGCCACGTTGCGAGTAAATTGGTGGTATTCTAACTGGGCATATTATTTAAAACATAACCTGATATGAAAATCTTCAGTGATTTTTATTTTAGCACCAGTGACAATTCGCAAAAATTTGAAGCGTAAAAATAAATCAACAGCTTTTTGACCCAAATTCGCAAAAATAAATCGACGTAAAAATTTCCAGATTTATGGTATTTCATCTCTCTAAGGCAGTGTACATATACATGTATCTTATATAAAATTAATATTTTCATTTAATTAGCTGGACAGAGACCAGTTATTCCTGATGACTATCAGAAACATGGTACAGAGACACGTGGGGGTGGTGAAGAAATCGGGTCATCAGCCCGGAACTAACGCCGTGGACAAGGCCCAGTGGAACTGGGAAATGAAGGAAGCCAACACAGAACTTCTCAGTGACGTACAGGAGCTTCTGAAGCAGGTGTCTAACTGTGAAACGGCTATGGCCTGTGCTAAATGGATGGTAGCTGAGCTACCACTAGGTGAGTTAATAGACAATAAGCTGGGTAAGTGGTGTTATCAGCTATGGCCTGTGCTAAATGGATGGTAGCTGAGCTACCACTAGGTGAGTTGATAGACAATAAGCTGGGTAAGTGGTGTTATCAGCTATGGCCTGTGCTAAATGGATGGTAGCTGAGCTACCACTAGGTGAGTTCATAGACAATAAGCTGGGTAAGTGGTGTTATCAGCTATGGCCTGTGCTAAATGGATGGTAGCTGAGCTACCACTAGGTGAGTAGACAATAAGCTGGGTAAGTGGTGTTATCAGCTATGGCCTGTGCTAAATGGATGGTAGCTGAGCTACCACTAGGTGAGTTAATAGACAATAAGCTGGGTAAGTGGTGTTATCAGCTATGGCCTGTGCTAAATGGATGGTAGCTGAGCTACCACTAGGTGAGTTAATAGACAATAAGCTGGGTAAGTGGTGTTATCAGCTATGGCCTGTGCTAAATGGATGGTAGCTGAGCTACCACTAGGTGAGTTGATAGACAATTAGCAGAGTAAGTGGTGACAAACAGCTATGGCCTGTGTTAAATGGATGGTAGCTGAGCTACCACTAGACTAGTTGATAGACATTAAGCAAAGAAAGTGGGGATTGTATATTTTATATACATGTACATGTATGTAAGTAACTATAAACATAGATTTATACATTCTAATGCTTTTCTTTTGTTTTAGGAGCAGAAAAAGTTCTTGCTCTGGCTGGCTGTATGACATATGCAGAGCTTTGGTATAAATCAGTCCCTGATGATGTAAGAATACTACTGACAGTATCCATTCCTAGAAATCAGAATTCATTAAGAATGTATGAAAAATTTATACGATCTATTTGCGTAAAATTTGTAGAATCCAACCAAGGAAAAAGCCAAGGCAGCATACAAAAAGTTCTTGGGTGCCTATCAGCGTTTGGCAACAGAACAAATTCTGTTTGTAAACAAAGTGGGAGAGCCCGAGTTAGTACAGTTGGCGGGAAATCCTGTCAAACTGATCTCCAAACTGTACGAGCACCACAGCATTACACAGACAGACCCCTCCCTGCCTAGACCTGGTAACATATGTTGTAATTATACATAAAGGGGGGATACTGTTTTAACTTTGTGTGTCTGTCTAGTTGTGTGTCTGTCCATAACAAATTTTCATCAGTTTTCTAAGCAATTACTCATGACAAATGATAGAAATTTTAGCTTATTCTTTGTTTAGGAATGTCATTTTAAACAAATCTGATGTCAACTTCCTGTTTATACATGTATGTGCGACTGTCCATTCCAAATTTCCATTACAGTTTTCTCCGTAAATACTCAGCCTAAATGCTTGAAATATTAACTGCCTTCTGCTTTAGGGATGTCATATGGTGCTATTCATGAGAGCATCTATATTCACATCAGAGCCGGGGATATTACTTATGTGCATTGGCTTACAGACTTCTTGTTAAGATATTAATACATGTACAGCACTTAGATGACTAAGTTCAACTCAAGGGGATTTGCCAGTATTTGAAACTCAAAAATAAATGTACATTTAATTAAATTAATTCTTTATCATGTTTATGATAAAAATTAAAATTTCAAAAGAAACATCTGATGCATTTCTTATTGGAGTGAACATAAAATGAGAACAAATTCTGTAGATTTTTAAATTTGGATAGAAAAACCATATGTGAATGAATTAATAGTGCAATTTAAGCAGTGATGTTTTTGTTTTCTGTGAAGATATCCACAAGGTGGCTGAGGAGATAGCTAAAGTGACCCACACTGACCTACATAAGATGAGACTGACCCTCATCAATCAGTGGCTTCCTTCCTCCTCCTCAAAACTGACTGATGGAGAGTCCGTAAGTAAAGTCCAGGGATAATCAAACTACAATATAAAAATTCAAATAACTGACGGGACTCAGTAAATAAAGCTTCCTCAATATTATCACATTACAATATACAAATCTAAATAGCTGATGGAAAGTCTGTAATTAAATTTCAAGCAAGCCTTCTAAAGTATATAAACAATAATATAAAATTAAAATAACTGTCAGGGAGTCAGTAAGTGATAAAGGTCAGGAAAACCCTCTCCTAGAAGTAAAATTTATTGTAATTTTGAATACATCCTTTCAAGATTTTTTGTCTCCTCTTTAAAATGGTATTTTTACAAATATCTTAATATCTTGCTTTGTAAATTTTCCTATGAAATTGTCTGAAAAAGTGATATTTTCTGAAATAATTAAAATTTGTATTGGAAACATAATTGTTGATGGTAACTTTTACAGACTGTGACATTTAACTTTGAGAGTCTAAAGTTAGCAGAACAAAGTATGATGAATGATGCAGAAGATGAAATCATCAACTTAAAAAGGTGAGGACTTAATGGTATAACTCAAGTCAATGAAATAGAGCATGTTCTTTTGGTACATTCATATCTGGTGAACTCAGGCAGGATCTTTAAGTACTGAAAACTGAAGTTTTGTCTTTTTCCTTTGAACAGAGTCCTGTATCTTCTTCAGCAAGGATCAGCAGAGGAGAATGTTACGTTTCTCCTTAACTTTGTATTTGAGGTGAGTTTACCAAGTAGTTTTGATGGTAATTCATTTATAAAGCTGCAATGGTTTATTGTATTTTTAGGTCACCTGAGTAACTCAAGTGACCTATTGCTATCCGTTTTCGTCCGGCTTCGTGTGTTAACAATTGAACATTTTTAGCTTCTTCTCTGAAAGGTCCCCGCCCCCCTGGGGCCTGAGGGGTGGGGTCAAAACCATTAAAATTATTGCAATCTTTAAAAATCTTCTTCTTTACTCCTGGACATCAAGCAGGCAAACTCTTGGCATGAATGTAATGAGCATTGAGTCCTCTACCAAAATTGTGAAATTCATGGCCCCAGGGTCAGGGGTTCTAGTGCTAGGACGGGGCTATATAGATTATATAGTGAAAATGCATTAATCTTTGAAAATCTTCTTCTCTGCTCTTCTTCTCTGCTCCTGGGTATTAAATAAACTAACCAAGCACATAGTTATGATAAGCAAGAGTGCCTTTACCAAAATTGTGAATTTTATGACCCCCGGGTCAGGGGTTCTGATGTTAGGGCGGGGCTCTATTGATTATATAGTGAAAATGCATTTACAGTGGAGCCTCATTTATCCGGACGCTTTGGTTCCCAGTCAATTTGTCCGGATATGTGAAGCATCCGGATATCTGAATCACCAGTTAAACAAGACAGAATAACATTTTAAAATTTCGTTCCGATGGAAAATCGTCCGGATACTGAAGCATCCAGATATCTGGCTTCCGGATATCTGAAGGTCCACTGTATTCTTTGAAAATCTTCTTCTCTACTTCTGGGTATTAGATAAACTAACTAAGTACATAGTTATGTTGATCAAGAGTGCCTTTTTCAGAATTGTGAATTTTGTGGCCCAAGGGTCAGGGGTTCTAGTGCTAGGGCGGGGCTATATAGATTATATAGTGAAAATGCATTAATTCTTTGAAAATCTTCTTCTCTGCTCCTGGGTATTAAATAAACTCTCCAAGCACATGGTTATGATGAGCAAGAGTGCCTCTTCCAAAATTGTGAATTTTATGACCCCAGGGTCAGGGGTTCTGGTGTTAGGGCGGGGCTCTATTGGTTTTATAGTGAAAATGCATTTATTCTTTGAAAATCTTTCCTTTGCTCCTGGGTTTCATGCCAATGATCCAAGTATATATATTTATGATGAAGAAAGTTGCATCTAGCAAATGTTTTTTTTATATGCCCCCCCCCCCTGGGTCGACCATTTTATGATAAAATTTGCACAATTTTGAAATATGTGGCCCCAGGTTCAGTGGTTCCTTTGGGATGAGGTGCACAACTGGTTATAAAGTGGGAGTGCATTTTCTCTTATGTTACTCTGATCTTCTTCTGGATATTACGTATTACAAATAGAGTAAGCATGCTAAGTCTTTAATTATGATAAGCAGTGGTGCCTCTTTCAAAATTGTGAATTGTGAATTTCATGGCCTCTGGTTTAAAACACGAACCAAATTTGATTGTTTGAAAGTTGTTGCACAATACTCAGGTGACCTATAAGGCCCGTGGGTCTCTTGTTTAATTTAGTGGCGATTCTTCACCAAAATAGAGAATTTGTTCAACTTTGCTTGACTTAAGGGACTCTGACCTTCAGTCAGGAAGGACAACTCTTTAATTTATAATTTTATTCAAAAAGTCTTTAAATGAAGCTTGGAAATTAAATCTTTTCATGCAACAATTTTCATCATATGCCCATCATTGTGCTTCAAGGTTCTTTGATCTTCTCAGAAAGACCTAATTAAAAGTAGAAATTTTTATCCAGAAAAAACAATTTTTGATACCAATGTTTATTAACATGATATGAAATTAGAAGTGATTTATGGAGCTTTGCAAAGAACCTTGAAGCACATTGAGAGGCATATAATGAAAATTGTTGCATGAAAAGATTTAATTTTCAAGCTTCATTTAAAGACTTTTTGAATTAAATTATAAATTACAGAGTTGTCCTTCCTGGCTGAGGGTCGGAGTCCCTTAAAAAAAGCAATACAGTAATAAAGACATTTTGTAGATGACTTTTTTAGCTCACCTGAGCCGAAGGCTCAAGTGAGCTTTTCTGATCACATTTTGTCCGTCGTCCGTCCGTCCGTCTAGCTGTCTGTCCGTAAACTTTTCACATTTTCAACTTCTTCTCAAGAAACAATGGGCCAATTTTAACCAAACTTGGTACAAAGCATCCTTAGGGGAAGGGAAATTTAAATTGTAAAAATGAAGGGCTAAGTTCCGTTACAAGGGGAGATAATCAAGAAAAGACAAAAATTGGGTGGGGTCATTAAAAAATCTTCTTCTCCAGAACCACTGGGCCAGAAAAGCTGAAACTTATGTGGAAGCATCCTGGGGTAGTCAAAATTCTAAATTATTAGAACCATGACCCCCAGGGGTAGGGCGTGGCCACAATAGGGAATTCAAGTTTTACATAGAAATGTGATCCCGTGGGGATCCGGGTTAGAATAGGTCCTCAGTACCCCCTTGCTTGTCGTAAAAGGCGACTAAATGGGGCGGTCCTTCGGATGAGACCTTATAAACCGAGGCCCCGTGTCACAGCAGGTGTGGCACGATAAAGATCCCTCCCTGCTCAAAGGCCTTAAGTGCCGAGCATAGGCCTAAATTTGCAGCCCTTCACCGGCAATGGTGACGTCTCCATATCAGTGAAATATTCTGGAGAGAGACGTTAAACAGTATACATACATAGAAATGTGTAGAACAAATCTTTAAAAATCTTCTTCTCAAGAACCACTGGGCCAGGAAAGCTGAAACTTATGTAGAAGCATCCTTGGGTAGTGTAGGTATTAAATTGTTAAAATCATGACCCCGGGGGTTGGGCGTGGCCACAGTAGGGAATTCAAGTTTTACATAGAAATGTATGGAACAAATCTTTAAAAATCTTCTCAAGAACCACTGGGCCAGGAAAGCTGAAACTTATGTGGAAACATCCTTGGGTAGTGTAGATATTAAATTGTTAAAATCATGACCCCCGGGGGTAGGGCGTGGCCACAATAGGGAATTCAAGTTTTACATAGAAATGTGTAGAACAAATCTTTAAAAATCTTCTTCTCAAGAACCACTGGGCCAGGAAAGCTGAAACTGATGTGGAAGCACCCTGGGGTAGTGTAGATTGTAAATTGTTCAAATCATGACCCCCCGGGGTAGGGCGGGCCATATTAGGGAATACAAGTTTTACATAGAAATGTATAAAACAAATCTTTAAAAATCTTCTTCTCAAGAACCACTGGGCCAGGAAAGCTGAAATTTATGTGTAAGCATCCTGGCGTAGAGTAGATATTTAATTGTTAAAATCATAACCCCCAGGGGTAGGGCGGGGCCACAATAGGGAATCCAAGTTTTACATAGATATATTTAGGAAAAATCTTTTAAGAATCTTTTTCTCAAAAACCACCTGGCCAGGAAAGCTGAAACTTATGTGAAAGCATCCTTGCTAGTGTAGATTCTAAAGTATTAAAATCATGAAAGGGGAGGGGGGAGGGGGGCATGATAGGTATAGCAAGAGGGGAAATGGGTAAAGAACTTCATCACCCAAGTTACTCAGATGAGCGATGTGGCCCATGGGCCTCTTGTTTTTATTAGCTCACCTGAGCTGAAAGCTCAAGTGAGCTTTTCTGATCACATTTTGTCCGGCGTCCGTCTGTCTGTCTGTCTAGCTGTCTGTCTGTCCGTCTGTCTGTAAACTTTTCACATTTTCGACTTCTTCTCAAGAACCGTTGGGCCAATTTCAACCAAACTTGCCACAAAGTATCCTTCGGTAAAGGGGATTCAGGTTTGTTCAAATGAAAGGCCACGCCCTCATTCAAGGGAAATAATTGGGAATTAAAGAAAATTTGGTGGCATATTTAAAAAATCTTCTTCTCAAGAACCACTGTGCCAGGAAAGATGAAACTTATGGGAAAACATCCTCAGGTAGTGTAGATTCAAGTTTGTTCAAATCATGACCCCCGGGGGTAGGGCAGGGCCAAAATGGCCGACCAAAGTTTTATATAGAAATACATAGGAAAAATCTTGAAAAATCTTCTTCTCAAGAATGACAAAGCCATAATTCATCATATTTATATGGAAGCATGCTCAGGTAGTGTAGATTCAAGTTTGTTCAAATCATGACCCCCGGGGTAGGGCGGGGCCAAAATGGCCGACCAAAGTTTTACATAGAAATATATAGGAAAATTCTTTAAAAATCTTCTTCTCAAGAATGACAAAGCCATAATTCATCAAATTTATATGGAAGCATGCTCAGGTAGTGTAGATTCAAGTTTGTTCAAATCATGACCCCCAGGGGTAGGGCGGGGCCAAAATGGCCGACCAAAGTTTAACATAGAAATATATAGGAAAATTCTTTAAAAATCTTCTTCTCAAGAATGACAAAGCCATAATTCATCATATTTATATGGAAGCATGCTCAGGTAGTGTAGATTCAAATTTGTTCAAATCATGACCCCCGGGGGTTGGACAGGGCCAAAATGGCTTATCAAAGTTTTACATAGAAATATATAGGAAAATTCTTTAAAAATCTTCTTCTCAAGAATGACAAAGCCATAATTCATCATATTTATATGGAAGCATGCTCAGGTAGTGTAGATTCAAGTTTGTTCAAATCATGACCCCCGGGGGTAGGGCGGGGCCAATATGGCCGACCAAAGTTTTACATAAAAATATATAGAAAAATTCTTTAAAAATCTTCTTCTCAAGAATGACAAAGCCATAATTCATCATATTTATATGGAAGCATGCTCAGGTAGTGTAGATTCAAGTTTGTTCAAATCATGACCCCCGGGGGTAGGGCGGGGCCAATATAGCCGACCAAAGTTTTATATAGAAAAATAAAGGAAAATTCTTTAAAAATCTTCTTCTCAAGAATGACAAAGCCATAATTCATCATATTTATATGGAAGCATGCTCAGATAGTTTAGATTCAAGTTTGTTCAAATCATGACCCCCGGGGTAGGACGAGGCCAAAATGGCCGACCAAAGTTTAACATAGCAATATATAGGAAAATTCTTTAAAAATCTTCTTCTCAAGAATGTTAAAGCCATAATTCATCATATCTTTATGGAAGCATGTTCAGGTAGTGTAGATTCAATTTTTTTCAAATCATGACCCCAAGGGGTAGGGCAGGGTCAAAATGGCCGACCAAAGTTTTTAAAGATATATATTGGAAAATTCTTTAACAATCATTTTCTAAAAAATAGCAAATCCATGATTGGTCATGGGACTACTTTTGGATTTAAACTTTACAATAAAAAGCTATTTTGTACTTTTTCCTACCCTTAGTGCTCAGGTGAGCGATGTGGCCCATGGGCCTCTTGTTCTACATGTAGTGTACAGGTAGAATTTTATTTAGGCAAAATTATATTCCATAGAATGCTATCCAAACCTCTTTTTAGCTCACCTGAGCCGAAGTTTGTTCAAATCATGACCCCCGGGGTAGGGCGAGGCCAAAATGGCCGACCAAAGTTTAACATAGCAATATATAGGAATATTCTTTAAAAATCTTCTTCTCAAGAATGTTAAAGCCATAATTCATCATATCTATATGGAAGCATGTTCAGGTAGTGTAGATTCAATTTTTTTCAAATCATGACCCCAAGGGGTAGGGCAGGGTCAAAATGGCTGACCAAAGTTTTTAAAGATATATATTGGAAAATTCTTTAACAATCATTTTCTAAAAAATAGCAAATCCATGATTGGTCATGGGACTACTTTTGGATTTAAACTTTACAATAAAAAGCTATTTTGTACTTTTTCCTACCCTTAGTGCTCAGGTGAGCGATGTGGCCCATGGGCCTCTTGTTCTACATGTAGTGTACAGGTAGAATTTTATTTAGGCAAAATTATATTCCATAGAATGCTATCCAAATCTCTTTTTAGCTCACCTGAGCCGAAGGCTCAAGTGAGCTTTTCTGATCACATTTTGTCCGTCGTCCGTCCGTCAGTCCAGCTGTCCGTCTGTCCGTCTGTAAACTTTTCACATTTTCGACTTCTTCTCAAGAACCACTGGGCCAATTTTGACCAAACTTGGTACAAAGCATCCTTGGGTGAAGGGAAATTTAAATTGTTAAAATGAAGGGACATATCCCCTGGCAAGGGGAGTTAATCAAGAAAAGACAAAAATAGGGTTGGGTAATTAAAAAAACTTCTTCTCAAGAACCACTGGGCCAGTAAAGCTGAAACTTATGTGGAAGCATCCTGGTATAATGTAGATTCTAAATTGATCAAATCATGACACCCGGGGGAAGGGCGGGGCCAAAATGGGGAATCAAAGTTTTATATAGAAATATATAGGAAAAATCTTTGAAAATCTTCTTCTCAAGAACCATTGGGCCAGTAAAGCTGAAACTTATGTGGAAGCATCCTGGGGTAGTGTAAATTCTAAATTGTACAAATCATGACCCCCGGGGGAAGGGCGGGGCCACAATGGGGAATCAAAGTTTTATATAGAAATATATAGGAAAAACCTTTGAAAATCTTCTTCTCAAGAACCACTGGGCCAGTAAAGCTGAAACTTGTATGGAAGCATCCTAGGGTAGTGTAGATTCTAAATTGTTCAAATCATGACCCCCGTGGGAAGGGCGGGGCCACAATGGGGAATCAAAATTTTATATAGAAATATATAGGAAAAATCTTTGAAAATCTTCTTCTCAAGAACCACTGGGCCAGTAAAGCTGAAACTTATGTTGAAGCATCTTGATATAATGTAGATTCTAAATTGTTCACATCATGACCCCCCAGGGGAAGGGCGGGGCCACAATGGGAAATCAAAGTTTTATATAGAAATATGTAGGAAAAATCTTTGAAAATCTTCTCCTCAAGAACCACTGGGCCAGAAAAACTGAAACTTATGTGGAAGCATCCTGGTATAACATAGATTCTAAATTGTTCAAATCATGACCCCTGGGGGAAGGGCGGGGCCACAATGGGGAATAAAATTTTTATATTGAAATATATAGGAAAAATCTGTGAAAATCTTCTTCTCAAGAACCACTTGGCCAGAAAAAGTGAAGCTTATGTGGAAGCATTCTGGGGTAGTGTTAATTCTAAATTATAGGAATCATGACCCCCCGGGGAAGGGCGGTGCCATTATAGGGAATCAAAGTTTTACATAGAAATATATTGGAAAAATCTTTGAAAATCTTCTTCTCAGGAACCACTGGGCCAAAAAAGCTGAAACATATTTGCCCATGGAAGGATCATGGGGTTGTTTAGATTTCAAAATGTCTAAATTGTGATCAGTGGGGTAGGGTGGGGATGCCTTATGTATAGCAAGGGGGAAATCTGATAAAGAACAGAATGGTCAAAGCTTCTCAGGTGAGCAATGTGGCCCATGGGCCTCTTGTTAGGATTTTGAAGTCAAGACATTTTATATAAACCTAATCTTATTTGTATCCTTTATCCTAGAATCAGAATACAGGAGAAATGACTTCAGTCACCAACATGTGTAAGATGCGAGCCTTACATTGCTTGCTGGAATTACGCCAAGACGAGATTGTCCAGAAAATGTGCGGTCGTAGTATTGAGGACTTAAGGTAGGAAATTCATAACTTGTTTCATGAAGAATTTAATTTTGACTGTGAATGCTAAATGGATCTTTACTTTTTAAAAAAAATTGTATGTAGTGTGTATTGGCTTTATTTTGAATTCTTTATTGTTTTTCTTCAAGGTATTTTCTCTAAATGCATGCATCTCCATATTGTTTATCCAGGAGCCTGTTGAAGACAACCAGTTACCTGATAGCCCTGGAGAAGCTCCACATACTGCACTCCGTGGAGACGTTTGAATCCTCCAATAAGGAGGGGCTGATCAAGGGAATCTGGAGAAACCACAGTCATCAGAAATCTGTAAGTCATTTACCACAGTCATCAGAAATCTGTAATCATTACCACAGTCATCAGAAATCTGTAAGTCATTAACCACAGTCACCAGAAATCTGTAAGTCATACAATCTGTAAGTCACTGATCAAAGATAGAACCACGGTTATCAGAAATCTGTAAGTCATCGGAAATCTGAAAGTCACTGATCAAAGATAGAACCACAGCCATCAAAAGTCTGTAAGTCACTGATCAAAGATAGAACCACAGTCACCAGAAATCTGCAAGTCATTAACCACAGTCATCAGAAATCTATAAGTCACTAACCACAGTCATCAGAAATCTGTAAGTCATTAACCACAGCCATCAGAAATCTGTAAGTCATTAACCACAGCCATCAGAAATCTGTAAGTCATTAACCACAGCCATCAGAAATCTGTAAGTCATTAACAACAGTCATCAGAAATCTGTAAGTCATTAACCACAGCCATCAGAATTCTGTAAGTCACTAACCACAGTCATCAGAAATCTGTAAGTCATTAACAACAGTCATCAGAAATCTGTAAGTCATTAACCACAATTATCAGAAATCTGTAAGTCACTGATCAAAGATATAACCACATTCACCAGAATTCTGTAAGTCACTGATCAAAGATAGACCCACAGTCATCAAAAGTCTGTAAGTCACTGATCAAAGGTAGAACCACAGTCACCAGAAATCTGTAAGTCACTGATCAAAGGTAGAACCACAGTCACCAGAAATCTATAAGTCACTGATCAAAGGTAGAACCACTGTCATCAGAAATCTGTAAGTCTGTAAGTCACTGATCAAAGTCATAAGAAATCTGTAAGTTACTGATCAAAGGCAGACACACAGCCATCCGAAATCTGTAAGTCACTGATCAAAGATAGAACCACAGTCACCAGAAATCTGTAAGTCACTGATCAAAGGTAGAACCACAGTCACCAGAAATCTGTAAGTCACTGATCAAATGTGGAACCACAGTCACCAGAAATCTATAAGTCACTGATCAAAGGTAGAACCACAGTCACCAGAAATCTGTAAGTCACTGATCAAAGATAGAACCACAGTCACCAGAAATCTGTAAGTCACTGATCAAAGATAGAACAACAGTCACCAGAAATCTGTAAGTCATTAACCACAGTCATCAGAAATCTGTAAGTCATTAACCACAGGTATCAGAAATCTGTAAGTCATGCAATCTGTAAGTCACTGATCAAAGATAGAACCACAGTCACCAGAAATCTGTAAGTCATACAATCTGTAAGTCATTCAAATTGGTCAAAGGAGACATCACAGTCATCAAAACCGCTAAGGATTTTTACTCAAAGAATATTGCTATAACTTTAAATGAGAAAAAATATGTCTTTCTGCATTATGTGTCATTTTAGGCCTGTATGCTGGTAGCTGCCCTGTGCCTTGATTACAAAATTTATGATGTTCAGATTTGGAATGGAGTTTTACAACAGCTTGTTCACTTTGGTTTGGTATGGATTTTGTGTCAACTTAATTTTACATATGAAGATTCAAATCAAAACATATATTTCATCAAAAGGTCTAGAGTTTCAGGTATCTCTTAAGTACAACATTAGTATTTGTATTATGTGTAGGTATACAGATGTTTTCTTTTTCAGATGGATCAGCTGGAGTATGTGTTGGGAAGACTGAATGCAGCACCAGAAGTCTGGCAGACTCCTATGTTCTCCACAGCTTGGCAAACCCTGGTCGTCACACCACTTACAAAAGGTTACTTATTTGTACACCTCATAAACAGTCAGATATAAAAACTTGAAAGTAATTTGTTCTATTCAGTAAAACATTTACTCTGTGGCTTATAATTGGATTTACATATTGCTTTTGTTTCTTTCAGTGGTTGCCCCATTAACAGAGGAGCAATTAGACACATGTGTTCACATCTTCAATTTGATAATCAGGTAATTTTTTTTCAAAAATACCCTATACTCTGTGTATGACAAATAGCATGTTATTATAAGACTCCCTTTCCAACAGGTGCCCAGTGCTGAGTGACACTAACATTGTATCATTGGTGAGACAGCAGTACCTGAAGTTAGAGCTCCCTCTGTGTGCATTGGCTTGTGTATTAATGTCAGACAACTCTGTACAGGAAAGACAGGTAAACATGAAAACATACACACAGTTATAGAGAGACAGGTAAACATGAAAACATACACTCAGTTATAGAGAGACAGGTAAACATGAAAACATACACTCAGTTATAGAGAGACAGGTAAACATGAAAACATACACACAGATATAGAGAGACAGGTAAACATGAAAACATACACACAGTTATAGAGAGACAGGTAAACATGAAAACATACACACAGTTATAGAGACAGGTAAACATGAAAACATACACACAGTTATAGAGACAGGTAAACATGAAAACATACACACAGTTATAGAGAGACAGGTAAACATGAAAACATACACACAGTTATAGAGAGACAGGTAAACACGAAAACATACACACAGTTATAGAGAGACAGGTAAACACGAAAACATACACACAGTTATAGAGGCAGGTAAACATGAAAACATACACACAGTTATAGAGACAGGTAAACATGAAAACATACACACAGTTATAGAGAGACAGGTAAACATGAAAACATACACACAGTTATAGAGAGACAGGTAAACATGAAAACATACACACAGTTATAGAGAGACAGGTAAACATGAAAACATACACACAGTTATAGAGAGACAGGTAAACATGAAAACACACACACAGTTATAGAGAGACAGGTAAACATGAAAACATACACACAGTTATAGAAAGACAGGTAAACCTGAAGTTAGAGCTCCCTCTGTGTGCATTAGCTAGGGTGTTAATGTTAGATAACTCCCTACAGGAACGACAGGTAACCAAAGTAAAGAGCACAATAAAGGTTACAAGAATTTAAACAGAAAAATTTCTATACTGTAATAATAACAAAATACTGTATACAGGGTTATTTGCGCTCTCTCACACGGTAAAACAAATTTGCCTGTTTTAGATTTGCCCAATTGTAGTTTTTTTTAAAGAAATTATACTGATTTTTTTTATTCGCCCAGTTTTAAATTCGCCCTAATGAGGGTAGGGCGAAAAGAGCGAAAATAAAACGGGGGCAAAAATTTTCCTGTATATAGTAGCCTGAAATAATGCTGATAATTTTGACATTCAAATTTTAGGATATTTTAAGTCGGCACAGACTGGGTTTACTTAAAGACCGTGATCGATTGATGAAACATGGAATGATGGCTGTGGAAATCAAAAAGGTCAGGCTAAACATCTTACATTTATCTGAAGTGTTTAAGGCATAACTGTCAATTTTTTTGGTTTAATGACAATGATCAATCAATTTCTTGCATGCTAAAATTATCAAGCAAGCAATTTGATTTATCATCAGCATGAAACCAAAAAATCTGACAATTAATATTTCTTACATTATCCAGGTCCTCTAAGCCCCTTCTTCTGTTAATCTTTTGTCATGTCCGACATATGATTTTAACCATGCTTATCAATGAAGCAGTGCATTTATGTAGAAATAAAGTACTTAGTTTAATCTCAAACAAAGACATTGATAAATGTAAATCATGACATCAATGTATTCCACTGACTGTCTTGCTTACTGTTCACAATAAAGAGTTTCTTTTTAGGTGGAGGAAGCAGTATTTCTCTACCTCCTTGACACAGAAGATTTCCAAGAAATCTCTGAATCCCCTTTATCCAAGTCCTTCTTTAAGTTTGCTGTAGAACATAACAACATCGATGGTATTCTTCAGTTTGCTGTCAGACATCAAAAGTGAGTGGAAAATGAATTTGATATGACCATTTGATACATGAATATTATCAAAATACTTGCAATAAAGTATGTGATTTATGTACAATGCTTAATTTCTCAAGTCACATGACCTACTCAATCTCGACCAGCATTACCAATACATGTAGTTAAAACCTGGCATCTCAGACTTGGTAACTGTTTCAATTTTCATTATTAGGTCACCTGAGTAAACTCAGGTGACCTATTGCTATCTGTTTTCGTCCGTCGTCGTGCGTCGTGCGTTGTGCGTTAACATTTGAACATTTTCAGCTTCTTCTCTACAACCACTGAACCAATTTCAACCAAATTTGGCATAAAGCATCTATGGGTGAAGGGGAACAAAAATTGTGAATTTCATGATCCCTGCCCCCCTGGGGCCTGTGGGGTGGGGCCAAAACCACTAAAATTAGTGCAATCTTTAAAAATCTTCTTCTTTACTCCTGGACATCAAGCAGTCAAACTGTTTGCATGATTGTAATCAGCAATGAGTCCTCTACCAAAATTGTGAAATTCATGGCCCTGGGGTCAGGGGTTCTAGTGCTAGGGCGGGGCTAAATAAGTAGGTAGTGAAAATGCATTATTTCTTTGAAAATCTTCTTCTCTGCTCCTGGGTATTAAATAAACCAACTAAGTACATAGTTAAGATAAACAAGAGTGCCTCTACCAAAATTGTGAATTTTATGGCCCCAGGGTCAGGGGTTCTGGTGTTAGGGCGGGGCTCTATTGATTATATAGTGAAAATACATGAATTCTTTAAAAATCTTCTTCTCTGCTTCTGGGTATTAAATAAACTAACTAAGTACATAGTTATGATGAGCAAGAGTGCCTCTACCATAATTGTGAATTTTATGGCCCCAGGGTCAGGGGTTCTGGTGTTAGGGCGGGGCTCTATTGATTATATAGTGAAAATACATGAATTCTTTAAAAATCTTCTTCTCTGCTCCTGTGTATTAAATAAACTAACTAAGTACATAGTTATGATGAGCAAGAGTGCCTCTACCATAATTGTGAATTTTATGGCCCCAGGGTCAGGGGTTCTGGTGTTAGGGCGGGGCTCTATTGATTATATAGTGAAAATACATGAATTCTTTAAAAATCTTCTTCTCTGCTCCTGGGTATTAAATAAACTAACTAAGTACATAGTAAACTAACTAAGTACATAGTTATAATGAGCAAGAGTGCCTCTACCAAAATTGTGAATTTTATGGCCCCAGGGTCAGGGGTTCTGGTGTTAGGGCGGGGCTCTATTGATTATATAGTGAAAATACATGAATTCTTTGAAAATCTTCTTCTCTGCTCCTGGGTATTAAATAAACTAACTAAGTACATAGTTATGATGAGCAAGAGTGCCTCTACCAAAATTGTGAATTTTATGGCCCCAGGGTTAGGGGTTCTGGTGTTAAGGCAGGGCTCTATTGATTATATAGTGAAAATACATTAAATCTTTGAAAATTTTCTTCTCTGCTCCAGGGTATTCAGCAGATGAACTACCAATATAGTTATGATGGACAAGGGCCCATATCTTCCACAATTGTGAATTTCAAGGCCCCAGGGTCAGGGGTACCATAGAGGGGGGGGGTTGTACTTATATACTGAAAATGAATGAATGGTTTGAAATCTGCTCCTTGGTATTAATCAAATATCAAGGCCTAAGGGTCAGGGGTTCATGTATGGTAGGGGCACTACTGATTATTGCTGAATATTACTGATTAGTTGAAATGCATTTTGTGTTCCCTTACCCTGCGTATGGGTATTAAGTAAACAAACTAAGCAACTGCTAAGTGTATTGTTATGATGATCAATGGTGCCTCTTTCAAAATTGTGAATGCCATAGCATCTTGCTTAAAACATGAATCAAATTCAATCACTGGAAAGTTGTTGCATAATGCTCAGGTGACCTATAAGGCCCATGGGCCTCTTGTTTTAAAATTCTTTTAAAGTTTATAAAAGATTCAAGTAATGCCAGTGAACATTTACTAGATCTATTAGATCTATTGCTGATTTCTAAAAATAGATTTTGTTTGAGTCACCTGGGTGCTTGTTGTGTCAAAGATAACGAGCCTTAATAAGCATATTAGATGCTGAGTTCTGAATGGAATTGTATTTTACTTTCAGAATAAAAGAAGCAGCCTCCTTATTGGGGATGTTGTGTTCCCGGAATGCTCTCCTGACTAAAAGACTGGAATCCTGCAGGAGTGACTCTATATTTATGCTTAAGGTACAATACCTAAATATAGATCATAATTCTATATTTATGCTCAAGGTTTCATAGAATTGAAATTACGGTTCTCAGGCTCATGTACATACGTTTTGAGGTAGCTGCATTCCAAATTTTCTAGATAAAATAAAAAGTTGGTAATGCAGAGACCAATTCGGAAAAAAATCCATTCTCTCTTTTTCATAGTTCAGTACTCGTACTCGAATATCGCTTCCAGGAGCTATTTGCAGAGACTTGGCTATACTTCGTTTAAAATTACATGTGAAGATAAGCCATGGAAAGTTTATCATAAACAATCAATTTTTATCTTTATTGTACATGTATAGAAAATTTGGATATTAAAAAAAATGATTTTAAAACATGCTTTATCTACTTTATCTCAAATAAATGTTTTTAAAAAATGCCCCCTCCTGCTTGCATCTGTTTTGGAGAAAATTTGCCTGAGAACCACAAAATGAAATTTATGAGCACAGCTAAGATAAAATATCAAGTACAAAATTTCCTCTTTGAACTAAAACTAGAGTGAAAGTACCACGGCGTATTCGTGCCATTTTAACAATGTAGAATTTTTTTATAAATCGTTTGTACAATTTAATAATTTGATAAGTTCAATTTAGTAAATCATTTGTACAATTTGATAAATCGTTTGTACAATATGTTTGTTATACAAACGATTTATTAAATCGATTTTTTAAATCATATAAACAATTTTTTAAATCGTACAAATGATTTATTGAATCATACAAACGTTTTATTAAATCGTACAATGAAATTGTACAAACAATTTCTTAAATTGTACAAACAATTCATTAAATCGTACAAACGATTTAAAAAAAAATTTCTACATTGTTAAAATGGCACGAATATGCCATGGTATGAAAGTGTATTTTAGATGTTTATATTTTAAATTGATATACTATTGCATTAAATCTTTACCACGATATATAATACTGTTTCTCACATATTAATTCCTTTCAAAAGTTTGACTACAAAATATTTTTTTCCCCCAGAAATATTTGGAACTACAAGGACATCAGGAGGTGAGCGAAATGATTTAGAAACTTTGGAAAATTTCATCTAGAGGGAAAACTCAACAAGTCGAAAAATGTGTTCATTTCTGTTAAAATCTGTCAAATTATTACAGATTTAACATAAAAACAAGGGGAAACAAAGTCTGGGCAAAATATCTGTGGAATAAAAGTAGTGATACTACCTGAACAGTAACATACATTATTTGTAGATGAAATTTCAGTGATTTAAATGACAAAGTGGGTGAAATTGAAATCTTGACATATATATACTAGAATGTAATTAATTAACACACTGTTGTGTCTAATGCGGTTTATAATTTTATTATCATTTAAATGATTTATTTATGCCATCAAACATGTATTTATATTAACATGGAAAACTGCATGGATAAAATTTGGATAAAACAATGAAAAACACTTGTTATTCTTTTTTTTTATTTGCATAACAAAGAAGACAATGTACATGTGATTTAACTTCTTTTAATTAAATAATAATATACCGTATATTAAGTAGAATTTTTAGCGAGGATTTAATTTTGGCATTATTAGCAAGGGTTCTGAAATCGCTAAAATTGAATATCGCTAAAAATTAATTGCGTATTATTTGTAATACCTTATTTAGTAAGTTAGCATTTCAAAATCGCTAAAATTACTTCTCGCTAAAAATAAAATACCATATTTTAGGTAGAAATCGCTAAATTTGCGTCTCGCTAAAATTTCTACTTATACGATAGTTAATAACAGTCAATAAGTGATGCCCATAAATCTCTGTATCTCTCTCTCTCTCTCTCTCATTTTTAAAAAAAAATATATTATTCAATAACAAATAATGCCTAGAAATCTCTTTCACTTTCTTTAACACCCAGATAGTTATGAATGCCCATACATACAACAAACACTTGATTCCCCAATTAAATATCCTGTTTATACTATATCACATCACAGAACAAGCATTTCTTTTATCAGGTAATGGAGACTTCACCATCTGAAATCTGTCCTCCCCATAATCAACACTTAGTCTCATGGGATGCCTCACACTGGCTGTGTCTTTTTTGATCCTGCTATTGTCTTGTCCCCCTTCTGACCTCCTTAAGGAGTGTCTGAATGAGTTACCTCCCTTTTGTGAGGCCGATCGGGTCAGAGAGAGGTCGCTGGACGTACTGTCCGAGTGTCGACTGACACGACTGTCTGGTCGTTTGCTCGGAGAGGAGTTCACACTGTCAGACAGAGCGAAACTGTCATTCCTAAAGGTTGCCTTTCTGGATTCTTTGATGGCCAGAACCAAACGAGATTCCAAATTCTTGATCTTTTTGTCTCTTTGTTCAATCTGTTCATGCAGGGACTTCACCTTTGAAATAATCATTGAAATTTTCAAGAAATTAATACACTCCATAGACTAAACAGAGCTGGAAAAGTTTTAAATTTAGCTTGCAAACATAAAAATGGTTCTTTCTGATTGCAAAGTTTTTTTTCAGAAATGAGCTCAATAATGAGGGTCATTCAGAAGTTTTGCTGGCTTTTTTCTTTGAATGGCCCTGTTATAAAGCATCAGACCTGTTCGTCTAGCTTGTTGATAAGGATCTCTTTGGCTGTACTGTTAGAGGAAGCTGCGGCCAGCTCAGCTTGGTACTTCTGTACTGTAGATTCTAAGACTGTCTGTTTCTCCAGTATTCCACGCTTAGCTATCTCCCTGAAACAAAGGAAATTCATATAATGATCAAATAAATAGCTAAACTTTCTAAAGTTGTGATTTGATATTAGTTTGATGTGGCTTTGGAAGCTTATACTGTGACAAGTGAACATGCTGATAAATGGAAAATATCTGGACTAGCCATCAAGAACTCTTAATTAACACAAGCAACTATGAATAAAAAATCTGACAAAATACAGCAAAATCATAAGAGTAAACAGGTCTGTGGATATTATTCAATATTTATAGGACTATAGAGAAGCCCCCCCCCCCCCCCTCCCCAATATCTATGCAGTATGAACATTTTATTCCCAAATTTCAGTGTAACCCTAAACTCAGGGCTCATAATTTGAAAAGAATAAACCCACAACTTTGGTATGTTTTTAAAACCAAAATTCCAAATACGTCAACACATTTCTGCTGGATTTTAGCCAAATCCGACCCTGGCGGCTGGGGGCGATCCGCTCTGAAGACAGTGGATGGAAGTTAAGATCTGTTGTGAAGTCAATTTTGAACAAAATAAGTTTATCGGATATACCGGTGTCTAATTATGAAGATAATTCAAACCCGAGTATTTTTTTTCTCTATTAGTAGAAGCCTTAGTCATATTACATGTACATCTTTTCAAAATTAAGAAATTAATTGAATATAATCCATAGTAATTTTTATATTAAAATGCATATTTAAAGAATCAAGGCAAATCAGATATTTTAAATGATTTTTTTAAAGGAGCCAAAATATTGTCTGTGTACAGGTAGTATATGTACTTTGTTGTGAAAAAAATACTCGGGTTTGTTCTTCATGAGATAAACGTGTAAGCGATAAATTTAATTTTTTCGAAGGTGATTTTACGTGATATCAACATAGGATTATTTTTTGTGTGACCTAACAAAAATTATTTTTTTAACTTTTGAATTTTGACATCTTTTAACATGTTAAAGGAGGTTCGATCCTGATATTTTGAGCGTATTTCGCGCAGGTCCTTTATTCATAAAATTTAGCATCATTTTTAGGTTCTAACAATAAAACTGAATTCTACAATGCAAATTAAACTATATTCAATGAAAAAAACAGCGACTAAATTCCATTCAAGTAGAATTAAGCTAGGGACTAGGACTAGTTTTTGTGGCTGAAGGTTTTATAGATGAAAATGGTCAGTTTTTTCCACTATAACAGTACTGTTAATTTTGGATGCCTATTTCTATAACAGTACTGTTAATTTTGGATGCCTATTTTTCCATGCTGTTTGCACACAAAGCTGTTTTTTGCAGTGAAATATGTTATGCTGGTTCTGAAATACCTGTTAAATTATTTCTTATGAATTCTATCAGCAATGTGTGACAAATATAGTAAATATATTCTGAAAATCTGGGAAAAAAATGAGCCAATTTTAACGTAAAATTCACACTTTTTTGGTAATATCTAAAAATGTACATCATATACCCCAACTTTTGATGTTCTTTTCTAAATATTCAAGATAACTTTGACCTATTTGCTTAAAATCAGAAAAAGTTTAAGACTTTGAAATAATTTTCTTGCCCATTATATTTTCAATGCTTGAAAAGTAACATTTTATTAGTGCAGAAAGGTCAAATAATTGATTATGCGAAGCAATTTGAAACTTTTTCTTAGTCACAATTTTAAAGTGTGTTTTTTTAAACATACTTAGAGTTCATTTTGTTTCATGCTATAATTGGATAAAAATATTGGAGGGAAAACGTCGAAGATGTAATTTTTAATTAAAACACAAATTTCAGTGCAGAAAGGTCATATTAAATGTACTGTAGCGCTAAAAGAAGCATTTTGACCCCAACTTTTTTATTTGAATTTTAATTAAGCTATGTATGTAGAAACTAAAAATATACTTGGCAAAAAGAGTTTAAGACTTTAAATATCAGGATGGAACGTCGTTAAAGGAAAAATACTTTAGGGATATGATTTGACAAAAGTTGAAACAATTCATGAACAATTATTTATCAAGAAGAAAAACAAATATATATTTTTAGCGATTTGAATGGGACCAAGCAGCTTTAAAGAAACACAGTGGGTAAATACATTTCAATTTGAGAATTTAGAGACATCTTTGTGAGCATTTTTTAATTACTCAATGCCTGATTTTCATAACCTAAGGATCGGATTAACCTTAATAATAAAAAATGAATTCACAAGGATTTGGAATTATTTACAAATCAAAAGAGAAAATTTTTTAAATTGATGATTTCTCAAAAATTTTCCCAAGACTGGATCATCCACAGTAGCCCAATCCCATCCCAAAGCTATGATTTGGGCATATTATCTTTCCTTGAAAGAGGGTGTAACCATTCAACTGAACAAACTTAAATATTTTTACCCAAGGACAAGATTAATATCATATACACATATGTAAATATGTCTTATCAAAGATTACGAAGCTCACCTTCACAAATGTTAAAAGTGCCCCGCCACAGCATGATATGCCTGTCAAATACTGTTCAATAGTCATGAATTAGTTTAAGGATGAAAGAAATTCAGGTAGCCTTGATTAACAGATTGACACAAATTTCAATTACATGTATCTAATTTCCATTTCTTATCATACATCTCTCAGAGACTAAATAACAGTGTAGGGATTGATTATGACAAATAATACATCATATAATTCTATACTGGTTGTGTAAGAGCATAACAAATATCCATCTGCAGCTTTAAATTGTTTATTGCACATTTTACGAAATAATGGAAATGCTACGGTCTAATAAAAAAAATCAAACGTAAATTATTCTTCAGACTATAAAATTCTAAGTGAGACATGACTGCAATTTGTTGCAAATATATAAAAATTTAAATATAATTTTTTTTCTTCAAGGAACACATGTATAATTAGTTATAATCAAATTGTACAATACTAATTTAGTCTTAATTATACATTAAAACATCAATTTGTTTTAATTAATTACACCAGTTGAAAGATCTTTATCTGGACTAGCCATCAAGAACTCTTAATTAACACAAACAACTATGAGGCCATTTCTTTTGCCCAACTCCCAAGAGATAAATTAAGATAACTGCTGCATCAGATCTAGAGATGCTCTTAGTTCCTGACAATAAACTCATTAATTTCTCTCAAATTTGACTTCGAAATTTCTGCTATCAAAATTCTCCTTGACCAGTGCTTGATAAATATGCCCAAGGGAAAATCTCAGATTTCCTCTCAAAGCGTAAACATTTCTTACAGATTGCTGTAAAGTATATAATGAAAAAATAAGTTTTTACTTAATTTAACATCTTTTAATAAGGATACAACTATATCTTTACATTTTTAAGGGTTATGAAATTTAGAATTTAAAAAACTTAGTTTTAAAGCAAATCACTTTAATTAAAGGTCACAGTGGCCTTGAAATAGGCTGCGACACACCTTCTACTTTAGATGTATACTTTTGCCAAGTTTGAAAGCTCTAGGTCTAATAATTTTCTAGTTATGAGCCAGACAGGATTTTTCCGTATTTGGCTATAGCATCTTTATTAAAGGTCAGAGCGACCTATTTTTTGTGCGCGACACACCGTCTACCCAAGAAGTATCAGTTGACAAAGTTTGATAATCCTATAGGCTTAATAGTATTCAAGTTATGAGCCGGACAGGAATGGACAGATGGACGGACGGACATGAAGCCTATAACATAATACGTCCAGTCTTAAAACGGGCTTTAAAAAATAAGGCAAATCAAACACCAAATTATTCTAGTAAGACATTGGGGTTAATGCAGCTCTGGTAGTGCCAATCCCTAAATGCATCATTTAAGCTAGTTTATTCATAACAGGCCTTAAAGTTACTTTAGGACAAAGCTACTCAAAAAACTCAAAACCTGGTCACTCATCTGGAAAATATAGGTCAGATTCAGCAACTTAAACAAGTCTGGTAGTGTGCATCCCTCATAAGTTTGGTCCAAGTAAGGCTAATGGTTACTTGGAAAAGGACTTGAACTAAGGATGCAAATGCTAATGTCAACACAAGAGTAGGCAATAAGAAATCTCAACTACATTCAGGTGAGTTAATCTAGATTCCCAGTAGGATAAATAGCACTGTAGCCCTTACTACACTCATATACCTGAGGATGCTTCCATATGAATATGACTCATCATGGCCTTATTTTTCTTAAAAAAAGATTTTTCTAATAGATTTCTATGTAAAACTTTGATCCTCCATTGTGGCACCACTCAACCCCTGGGGGGTCATATAACTATGAGAAGTCATGGCTTTGAGAAGAATTTTAAAGATTTTCCTATGTATTTCTATGTTAAACTTTTATTCCCAATTGTGGCCCCATCCTATCCCTGAGGGTCATGATTTGAACAAACTTGAATCTACACTACCAAATGATGCTTACATTTGAGTGTCATATTTCCTGGCCCAGTGGTTCTTGAGAAGAAGATTTTAAAAGATTTTTCTCATGTATTCCTATGTTAAAATTTGTTACCCCATTGTGGCCCCGCCCAGTCCCTGGGGGTCATGATTTGAATTAAATTAAATCTACACTACCAGGGGATGCTTCCATATAACTAGGAATAATCATGTCTTTGCTATTCTTGAGAAGAAGAATTTTAAGAATTTTTCCTATGTATTTCATATGTAAAACGTTGATCCCCCATTGTGGCTCAACTCTACGTGGGGGGTCATGATTTGAACAAATTTCAATCTGCACTACCTGAGGGTGCTTCCATTTGATTTTCATCTTTCCTGGCTCAGTGGTTCTTGAGAAGAAGATTTTTTAAAAAATGCCATTATTTTTTCTCTAATTCAAAATTATCTCCCCTTTGAAAAGGGTGTAACCCTTCATTTCAACAAATTTGTATCCCCTTCACCCAAGGATAATTTGTAGCAAGTTTGGTTAAAATTTGCTTAGTGGTTCTTGAGAAGATGATGAAAATGTGAAAAGTTTACGATGACAACAACTATGAAGACAAAAAACAACAGACAAATTTTCGTCAGAAAAGCTCACTTGAGCCTTTGGCTCAGGTGAGCTGATTTTAGCTTTCAGCGTAGACAAGCTTTAAAAATTGCAAGATTGCTATTATGATTACTTGAGTTAATCTAGTAGGAGTCCTAAAACTTCAAATTGTTATGTTCTTAAATTTGCCTTCTGAAAATTCCTGAGATCTAAAGATTTTGTTGCTATTGATTTGTTTATTTATTTTTCAAGGTAGTGAGTTTTGGGGTAAAAGGTTGGGGTATGAATGCTAGTCTTTTTTTAAAAATGAATTTAATGATCGATTCTTTATGGTCTCCATAACACTAAAAGGTATACAGTAAACCATTAAATTTAAATCCCAACTACAGACAAGGAAGTAAAAATACCTGACAGGTAGATAACAGAGGTAAGTCATGTGACCTGAATTCCAATAACAACGAGGTGGCAGCCATTACTGTTTTACAACAGGTAATGTCTAATCTTTGATATTGACTAATAATGATTGCATAATTCTGTATTCTATTATCCAGCTTGCATAGCATACTCTTCTCTGGTGAGATCTTGAAACATAGGTCTTGTTTTTAGCAATGTACTGTTAGAATAAGCAGATTTTTAATATATTATTTAATTATGTAATAGTTTGGGCCATGGAGATCAACCTCGGTACACTGTAGCTCAATCAGTAGAGCACCAGATTAGTGATGCAGGGGTCCCTGGTTTGATTCCTGTTTCTGGAAGTCATTTCCCACTTTATTGTCATAAATTTGACCATCCCTGGACTTACAGGTAAAACTCCTGTCTGGGTTAATAAGAACTTCGGTTGTGTCTTAGAGGGTGAAGAGCATTTACCTGGTAAGGAGAAAGAGTAATGGTTTGGGCCATGGATATTATTGGCCTGAGTAGCTCAGTCAGTAAAGAACCTAACTAGTGGTACAGGGGTCCCAGGTTTGATTCCTGTCCAGCCATACATTTTCTCCTTTTTTGTTACACATATTTACATGTATTATATATTTATACTTCAGAGTCACAAGTTTAATGATGGACCCCCGTACCAGTGCCCAGGACGTGATGCGATGTGACCTGTGTGAGACCGCTGTGGTACAGATGTACTGTGATACATGTCTTGTCAACCTGTGTAAGGCCTGTGTGGGAGAACACGTCTCTGATGATCTCTCAAAACCTCATAAAATTGTGGACTTTAGAGATAGAAAATCCACTCCCCTCTACCCTTCATGTAAAACTCATGATAAAGAACATTGCACAATGTACTGTAATCAATGTGACATTCCTGTTTGCCCTACGTGCATTGGATCTGATAAACATCTTGGTCATAAGGTATCAGAAATATTGAAAGCTGTGGATGGAAAAAAGAATATAATCATGAAAGAACAGACAGAATTAAATGATACAATTTATCCCAACTACCAGGACATTGCCTCTGATGTACAAATCAGAATGAGTCAGTTACAAAAGGAATATGGAGATCTCTCAACAGCCATAACAAAACATGGAGAGGCCTGGCACAGAGAAATTGACAACATTGTCCAGAAACTTAAAGCTGAAGCTGATGAGATGAAAAGCTCACAGTTACAAACTCTACAGAAACAGCTGGATGAAATAAACAAGACAATGTCTGACATCAAGGAAGAAATTGATTCAATGGAAACTGTAATAGACACCAATGACTTGTCAAAACTGTTTAGTGTCACGTCTAATGTACACACATACAGAAATCTTCCACACAAAATTATAGCAGCTTTATCTAAATTTATTCCAGGAAAAATACAAGGTGAAGAAATCAGTAAATTGTTTGGAGTTTTATCATCAAGTTCTTTAACATCAGATAAACATGGCTACAGCATGAAGACAACACAGAAATCACCAGAAGCTGGATCCTCCCCTTCAGTCAAACAGCTGCTTGATGAACCAGAGACTGTCACCACCATAGACACTGGGTATAAAGAACTTTACAATGTGGCCTGTCTGAGTGATGAAGAAATCTGGACAAGTGGACGTGACAACACCATGGAACTTTACAGCATCAATCAGGGATCACTACTCAAGTCAATCACAACCAAGTTGGGGAACAAACAACTTAACATAGCAGTGACAAAAAGTGGAGATCTAGTTTATACTGATTTTGATGATAGAACTGTGAACATTGTGAAGAATGAGAAGATAGAGGAGGTGATCAGACTACAGAACTGGAGACCTAAAGGTGTCTGTAGTACCTCCTCTGGTGACCTCCTGGTTAGCATGGACAGTGATTACAAACAAACAAAAGTTGTCCGTTACTCTGGCTCCACAGAGAAACAAACCATTCAGTTTGATGATAAATTTAAACCTCTCTATTCACCTAGTTTTCGTTTTCTAAGAAACATTACTGAGAACAGGAATCTGGATATCTGTGTGTCTGATGATACAGCTGGAGCAGTAGTGGTGGTCAATCAGGCCGGGAAACTGAGATTCAGGTACACTGGACATACTCCTGCTCCAAAGAACAAACCATTCTATCCACGCGGAATCACCACAGACAGTCAGAGTCACATCCTTACAGCTGATAATAACAACAACTGTGTCCACATCATAGACCAAGATGGACAGTTCCTCCGTTACATAAACTGTGGACTGATTGGACCCTATGGACTGTGTACAGATACAAATGACAATCTGTTTGTTGCTCAATGGGGAAATAAACAAGTGAAGAAAATCAAATATCTGTAATGAAATCCAATATTGCATAGATTTAAAATTATACCAAACTTTTTTCTTTGCTCAGATTTATCATTATATTAGTCCATTATGTGAACTTTTATCTGTAAATATCTACACTGGTAGCATAATTGAGAAAAAAAAACAAGAAAATCATCTATGAAAAATAATCAAGTGCTAGATTATACTCAATCTCTGAACGATATTTTGATTAAACCTTTTTTTTAGAATGTTAATTGGGTTTTGTTTTTTATTCACCTTGTATAAAATCAAAAGTCAAAACATACAAATTTTCTTTCTTTTTTTCTTTTTTTTTTTTGATGGGTCTTGTACAGACATCAACAAGTCACATGCACGTAATGCACATGTGCAATATGACAGTATTATTATATAGCCAATATATTGTCTCTAATACTACCAAACATCAAGAGAATTTTAGCGTTCAATATTTTGACATTTTATTGAACGCTGAGTTTGTATTACATGTACGAGTATGCCCGAAACATTCCTAATACGAGCATTCAATATCGAACGCCCCATTGTAAACAAAAAAGTCGTCTGGTTAAATTCTCAGAGCTAGATTAAAGAAAGGAAGTGGCATCTAGGTAAGATGTGTTTATTTTTCACACAAAAATGAAATTATTTATTAAAATATAGTACGTTTTAGACCTAATAAAACCTAAATAAGCAAATCATATCGCTCGGTAGAGTCATCTGAATGATGCCATATTGGACATTACAGGACAGACGTTAACTTGACTACCAATGCCAAAAATCATTAATTAGAGTTTTTTAAAATGGAATAATTAATATAAATTATGTGGAAATATTTTAGCTATATAATAAAGTAGTGCATTTGAACAGCCAACTTGTGCCAATATACACCACTATAAGTTCAATAACCCTATATTATTTCTAAACAGATTAGCTGAAGTTGAGATTTTTGAAAAGCAGGTCAATTTCAAAGTTACATGTAAGTTTATGATGTCAATATTCATAGTACACTATACATTCAGTCTTGCAACAAATAGTGCACACATAAATAACATAAGCTCTTCTGGTCTCTGACCAGTTGAGCTAAAAAGCTCATTTGAGTCATAGGTTGACATGTAATACTTAATATTCATTTACTTGCCTCATAATGTAACATAAAATTCTTTTCCTTTGCACCACTGGAAAAATGGAAATGAGAACATGTAACCACAGCTTTATCATACAACAATATTACATACAATTTTCTGATGACAAGTTTTTAATTCTTTTCATTAAATACACTGTACACTATATGTTACTTGTATGTCAACTTAATTTACTGTCACAAACTCTGATCTAACAAATTTAAAGATATAGCAAACTGGTTTTGTGTTCCATAAGGATTAATAATAAAGAAATTTCATCTATTTAAGGGGGCCGACTATAGTTTTATTGTGTGAAAACTACAATAGCGAAACTCTTCATTTTTATACCATATATGTTACATTAACTTCAGTGTACATGCAAAATTTGGGGGAAATCTACCGTCCAGGTATTTTTGAGGGACAAAATTAAAATCAAAATACAGGTACATTTACCATGGGATTTTATAGGAAAATGCCAATTTTTAGCACTTTAAAGCAAATTACACAAATACTACAATAGACATTTTGTTCAAACTATAATATTTGATGCGTTATACATGTACTATATTATACAATGTATGTAAGAAACACAAAATTCTACCATCTTGTTATCAGAGGGGGAATCTCAAAATGCAAAAAATTAGCAAATTTTACTATTTTTATAAGAGTACTACAAAATATGACATACACAATGGATTCACATGAAAACATTATAAAAATATTGGAGATATTCTCAAATTTCTATGTTTTAGATTTCAAGAGCATATGTTTATTACTTTTTCCTTAATAATATTTTTATTACCCCTTTCTTTAAGAGCTACAGATTATCATAATGTCAAAAACACACTGCAACGACGTCAACCTACCTATCAATTGCAAAATTGGTTAAATCAAAGTACTCAGAAGTACAGAAAGGCGGGCTCATTTACAGATTAGAATGGATTTCTTACATGAATCACGTTTATATTCTGATGAAAAAATTATTTTAAAAGTATCAATATAAAAGATAAGACACTGACAGTGAGTTTTTCAATCCTAATACCACGTTTTGACTTTGTCAGAATCAGAATTAATCTGGTACCGCAGCTGAATTTAAACAAACAGGCCAGTCTGGTTCCCTCTCCTGCTTTACCTCGTATGTGTAGAGAACTGCGGTAACACTGATTATCAAAAATCCTTACGCTAATGAACTATGTTCTTTGACTTATGAAGTTTTCAAAGTCATTACTACTAATGTTTATTTTATATAGATAAAACTTCGTTTTATTTTTGTTGCTTTATTTAGCGTTTGTATTATCTCAAAAGCGGTTGAGAGTAAGAACTATATTTTTGCACGTAACTTTAAAATGGCGACTATGGGGTCAACATCCTGCCTTGAACAGGATCACATAAGCCGGCAATTGCTCTTTGAGCAATAAGCCCGGCTAAAAATCAGTTGTATCAAATTGTAATTACATTTCTATACCTATAATTTCTTAATTTTGTTAAATTTTAATAATTAAAGCAAAAAACTTGCTTTAGAACAGTAAATACGCTTCATTTTACTATGATGCGCGAAATATTGCACAATGGAAACTATAGTCGGTCCCCTTAAGGTAATTTTTTCAAATAGATTTCAAAATTTAAAATACTGATTGGCATTACTTTTTCTTCTTTGAAATTTAATTCATGGAAAATTTTTGTACCCCAAGTTAAGCTTCACACTTAATACTTAACTAAACATACATGAATCTGGTAGTCATACTTGAAAGAAAACATTTACCCTGGTATTGTGAAAATGCTACATACACTCATAACAGGTATTGCTGATATATAGTGAAGTAATTCACATGCAAAGACTGCATCTTGACCATTTACAAATGACCATAGATCTGGAAATCTTTATAACAAATGTTACTTTTAATATTCACCATCATAAAGTTATGTCACAAAGAGTGGCATAGCTATTTCAACATACCATCCCAAATTCTATCTTATAAAAATTATCCCCAGACTTGAGAAATAAGATAAGAGTAGAGAGTGACCATTTTTATACAGCACACATGATATTGTGGGTTTTATTTCTGACCTGTGTTTGACCTCTCTGGAAGAGAGAGGATCCATGCAGGGGTTTGAGGACGTCTACACTACAGGAAATGTTTCTGAGCTGTGTTAAACTTCTGCCGTCACACCTAGTCAGGTTGTAAACAAAAAATGTCAGATAAAGCATAATTACAATTAATAGTAAATACATGTACATGTATTATACAATCCAACCTCATTATTTTGACTTTGATGGGAAAAATCTTAAAGATATCTTAGGATTCAAGATACTAAGTATTAAGGTTGAATTTTATGAAGAAGCAAGAGGCCTATAGGCCATAATAATATTACATGTACTCTTCTACTTTTATCAGCAGATCCCTCTATATTCCTCTGTAAACATATACAATTTATATATGATACTTATTTTGACCCCACCCTACCCCAGGGTTCATCAACTGAAAAAAATTCTGACCCAATCAATTTTCTCTATTTCTTAAATTTCATTCCTATATGTGATTACAGTCTAGTTTAGTCCCACAACAGAGTAACATATTGAAAAGTGACGTATAAAAAAATGATTTCATTTTGTGAAAGAATTTCTATTAGAGATATTTTCAATACATTTTTCTTATACTGTATATCTAAGGTACTTAAAGAGTTTGATTTTCAATACAAAGAACTTCAACTGAATACAAATAGATTGAAAATAAAATTCTGAATGAAATACCTTTTTCCAGTAGTAAAGATACTCTCCCTGAAGACTTGTTTAATACACTTCTGAATGTACTGATTTAAATCATCTTCTGTCATGGAGGGATAAAGATCTAAAACACCAAAAATGAAATGATTTTATCAGTAAAACTTTCATCGAAAGAGATGATCTGAAGCATGGTGGTAAATACTTTGCATGATGGGTATTTTTTGTAAGAAAGTGTGGCTCATCATTTGAATGAATCCAAATTGCTTTCACCAAAGAATGGATTGTGGAATACAACGTCTTAAATTCTGAAATGTGACAACTCTCAAACTGAAATCAGACTCAGATTTTGTATACTACCTTTTAATTCATTCATCACACTATTGACAACATTCTTCACCGCCAAATCTCTTGAAAACTGGAAAAAAAAATACAAAGTGTTACCATAAAAATAATATGACATATTTTAAGCATAACATGTGAAAAAAACATTGTTGACCAGGGTGTTTTAGGGATAACATTTCATCTCTATGTGATATAGCGTAAATAAAGGTCTGGCTTTATTAAAATTGTTGATATGTATCCTATGGATTGAAAATATTCATTATTTAACATCATTATTTTAAAATTTCTGAGTAGTCTCGCTTTTAAAAGTTTACATTGTCTAAAGACGAGTAGATAATGGATAAGTTTTAATCAAAATTGACCCAATTTAACATGATCTTTACAGAATTCTGTTAATTTCTATCTTCTGTGTATATGTTAGATACTATGAATAAAAAATATGGCCACAATACCTTATCATGATTATAATCTGTAAACACTGCAGTCAATTTGGTGTTGCACAACCTAAAAATGTACAACGAAATCCTTCAAACAGTGTCTTTCAAAAGCACAGCTCAGAAGAAACAGTTTCCCCTAGAAAATTTTAACCCTCCCCCCTCCCCCCTAAAAAAAAAAGAATTCTTATTTTGAATTTTTTTCTAATTAAGATTCCCCAGCGTAAAATTCATTCCAAATTTAATAAAAAGGCTTCTTTTTAAAACATGGTTGAGAAAACACAACATCGACAAGTTTTCAATTCTCACATTTCCTGATCATATCAATTAATACCTGTAGACAGCATTATGTATTTCTGTATCCTGAAATCTTGGAGGTAGACGTTTAGGTATATACTTATTTTCACTGGCTGTTTTTCTCAGATCCTCAATACTGTCGATGATATTAAATGACTCCTCGTAACCGACCTTAATGGCTTCCTTAAACAAATCGTAATCCGCGGCATTGGCTCCTCCCTCCAACATAACTGTAAACAAAATATATCATGTAGATCTTCTTACAATAATGTAAATCAAAAACACACAACGGAAGCTTCTAAATCATAAAATGCATAAGTATTACATGTACATATTCTTCAAATTAGTTATCTTAATCACTGACATCTTGAATACAAGGTTTATGTTGAAGAAGGTCCTTTGTTTACTGGATTAGCCATGAGGCATCATTATTGTCAAAATGTTTATCTATCCGCTGTTTCTTGGATGTAGAAATTTGGTCCCTGGCTAATTTTTCTGTAGGGTAATATCATAAATTCATATATTATTACTACATGTATTTTCAATAGGTAATATCCCAACTACCAATAAGTACCTCGCAGTTATCTAACTTACTACCACTCTTTTGCAGAAGAGTCTAGCAAGGTCTTAATTTCTGGGGCACGTGACATTGTTAACAGTAGTGACAATCGACTGATTCCACTAATTTAATGCTGAAATCACGATGTTTTGCCAGATATTGAACTCCAAATAGTAGATTGTCAAATAAGGAAAGTTAAGAATATTTTATCTGCTTTAAAATGTAACAATTTAGGATTGGCTCCTGTCAAAAATTTATTTGGCTGGTTCAGCGACTCTTAGCAAGGTATTCCACCAGGATTTTTTACTTATATGTCCTTATAAATGCTATAATGATCGATCTTGCATTGTATTAAATAGCACATTTGCCCCCACCCAGCAGACGTTTCCTACCTCCATCGCAAAAGAGTTCCGCTAAATTAAGTAATCGCAATATAAAGTATTGCGATTACTTAATTTAGCGGAACTCTTTCGCAATATAAAGTATTCAGGCCTTATGTGCTCAAAGCACGAAGAGGACTAAGTAAGTAAGTAATATAAAGTATTGATTTACCTATTCCCTGTTTACTGGATGTTACCACGAGGTTGATTTTGCTCTGCTCCAGCTCATGGCGAAGTGGATTTATTACAAATTTATCATCTACATATCCAACCCTGACAGCTCCTGCAATAAAGAAGAATCAAACATTTTACAAAGAATTCAATACAGGTCCAACTATAAAAACCTGAATGACCTTAACCTTGGAGATAAAAAGTACGTAAGGGTTGCCCGCAACCCTGTGTCTCGCCTGCTGTCGCTGTGGTTAGTAAGAAATGATTGTCTGATAAACTGAAGCATTTATTGACATTTCAGAAGGAATAACTCAAAAATACAATAATAAAGAAATGGAACAGCTGACTTAATATCTAATCCCTTGGCGATTATATTGGCATTTATATATATATACATATACCCTGTAAATTCACAAATTATTGTGATGTTTTTATTATTGCGAATATTGCAACGTGTTATGAGTCGCAATAATTTGAACTTGCATTTTGAAATCAAATCCACTGTATATGTATCAAGTCATTCATGCAGAAAATGTAGGTGAAGATTACCTAATTATGGTACTGATATTGTTGGTTACCCATGATGTGTAGACTGACAAATTATCATGCCACTATAAGTTATAGTTGCTGAGATATGGACCTCCACCATAAATTTATGCAAAGTCACTCATGCGGAAAAATGTAGGTCAAGATGACCTAATTCTGGTACAGGCGTTTGTGGTTACCCATGATGTATCCACTGACAAATTATCATGCCACTATAAGTTATAGTTGCTGAGATATGGACCTCCACCATAAATTTATGCAAAGTCACTCATGCGGAAAAATGTAGGTCAAGATGACCTAATTCTGGTACAGGCGTTTGTGGTTACCCATGATGTATCCACTGACTAACTATCATGCCACTATAAGTTATAGTTGCTGAAATATGAACCTCCATTATCAATTTAACCAAAGTCATTCATGCAGAAAAATGTAGGTCAAAATGACCTAATTCTGGTACTGATGTTGTTGGTTACTTATAACCTGTACAATGACAAATCATCATGCCATTATAAGTTATAGATGCTGAGATATGGACCTCCACCAAAAATTTAACCAAAGTCACTCATGCAGAAAAATGTAGGTCAAGATGACCTAATTCTGGTACTGACGTTTGTGGTTACCCATGAT